AAAAATCAGATGAGGATTTCATTCTGAATAAAAGTTACTCCCCATAAAGTAAAAATATTTTGTACTTTCTAGAAGTTATGAAAGAGATGATGGAATTAGTCAAATAAGAAATTAAATTATGTTAAGGGAATATAATTAAATGAAAAAGGAAATAGTAAAATTAAGGAACAAATTGAGGCCCTAAAACATTCTAAGATTGATACATAAGTATTTCTTTTAAAAGATGATAAATGTACTATCTTTCTCTTACTTTTCCTTCCTTTGACCATCCTAAAGGTGATCGGTGATAGCCTTTTTCCCTAAAAAATTATTTTGTTGTTCTTCACTGACTTCCTGTTTACCAACTATGATTGTCTCCAAATCTCTTTTTCCAGCTTAGTTTCATAGAAGAAAAACTACTTTAAAACTATCAGAAAGTTTTAGATTCAGAAGATGGGTAGCCAATTTAAAATTTTCTTCAAATAGGAATCGTTTGTGTGTATTAACCGTCTTTAAGCCAATCATCTTTGTTCCCTAAAAATGAGATTCTTAATGTGGTTTGTCTTCTGAGTGCGTGTTGGCTTGCAAACTCCACAGCTTCCCAAATGAAATCTGAACTGGTCCCTGCACGGGGCGGGCAAGTGGAGATGGAAGAGAGAGCAGGTCACTCCAGATGTGTAGGTGGCAGTTTTAATGAGCCAGGGAGCTTACATAGGAGGCTTGTCTTGGGCAGCCACAAGAGAGTAGATCTCCACACTCACCTGCCAGAACCTTAAAAGTTCATCTAGAGGCCTGAACTGGGTTCAGTCATGTATGCCATCCAGATCATCCCACCAACGCAATCTCTTCAAGGCTGAGTCCTTGAAAATGGCTCTGGCTGTGAGCATAGTGGACAGAACATACATTCCAAGGACAGAGTGGGGCGTGGGGAGTCTCTGATTGTCCAGGTCCAGCCTCCAGGTCAACCAGATGTCATGTCCTCTCCATGACCTCCCCTAACAATGCAGTTTTCACTTATATTGTGTATGTCACAAACATGCTGAAGACAAAGGAGTCAGAGGCAGAAAGACAGCGACTTGGACGTTTATTGATATTTAGTATAATATATCTTGTCTATATAGCAGTGGATATTTTCAACTCAAATCAGTTCTTTATACTTTTCTAAAATTTATATATCAGCAAAATTAGAAATGTTTTAAATTAAATTAAATTAAATTATATGGTAAAATCTCAGATAAAATACCCTCCAGTTCTGATACATTAATACTGCCAAAGTTAAAATGAAAATGAAACCTATGTTAATTTTATTTAATTTTTAAAATAAAATTAAATGAATAAAACTTTGTAGAATACTTTGGCGTATTTTTTTAATCTATTTGAGTAAGAAGATGAAAATCTTGGAGTTTACTGAATTAATTCTTTAAATGCCCTTTCAGGAAATTAGTATTTAAATAATTTTCTACTTTATCCATGTAAGTTAATTCTTAAATATTTTATCTTTGAAATTTTAAGCAAGATGATTGTGATCTTTTATCCATAAGATTTATTTCCATTACTAATCTTAGATAGTAAAGTTCAGTATTTACTTTGCAGTGTAATAGTGTGCATACTTAGATAATAGACCCTATGTATTAAAATCTAACACATTTCAATAGCACTTTGGCATAGGTTTTCCAGTAATTGTTTCTTTATATTTCTATTTTTAATTAATTAATTAATTAAGTCTACACTTCATGCCTCTATGCTAGGAGCTGTCAAAGGTACACTTATTAAGACATTAGCTTTACCCTCAATTGATTTACATTTGGGGGAATCATTAATACAGGAAGCTAGAAGACTGGGTGGAACGAAAGCTCAGCGGTGGGAATGTAACTGATTTTGATTAGAGAAAGAGTAAACAGGGAAGTCTCACGGGAGGGGGAGGCACTGGTCCTGGAGTATTTCACCTCATTATAACTCGCTTCCTTATCAGCGTTTTTCAAGCAGATTTCTTTCCTAGTGACCCAGCACCTTAGGATGGTTTTCCTTCTCTGGCACTCTGGTTAAGCGCTTGCTATTCAGGAAACAAACAGTAGGGGGTGCTGTGGTAATTTGCGTGAAAACCCTAAGGGCAATAACATCTGGAGGAAAAGCCTGACCAGGACAGTGCACTTCACACAGGTGACGACTGAGGGGTGTGGCTTCGCCTCCTGGGTAGCAGGAAGTCGTGGATGCTCTGATGTCGTTCATGCAGCTTGGACAACCTCCGTGTGGCTGCTCTTCTCTCTACTTGCTCGGGCTTGCTTGTGTAACTCTCCTTTGTGTACTTCTTCTCTGTCTTTGCTTCAGTTCAGTCATTATTCTGCTTCCTCCATAGCTTAAGCTTGCTCTCCCCTTTTCAGCCCCCACTCTACCTTCTATCTATCTCTGTCTATTCGTCCTCAGGTCTTACTACAAAGCTTTTCTTTTTAAAATCGCTGTTTTCTGGTTCAAATTTGAGAGATATTTAATTGGCTAGAGCTGTCTTTTTTCCAAGTTCCTTGGCCCATCAATGAATGTGCTGCTTTGGGTCCAATCAGCTATAGGATATAAAACATGACCGCCCACAGCTACTGTATCAGCAGGAACTTTGTGTGGGCTAGTTCCCCTTAAAAGGGGCTGGGGCTGTGACAGGTTATTAGACTGAAACATGTAGAGTAAAATAATATACCACGTTGAGAGGTGCTGACATTTTATGTTTCAGAATTACTTGGGAGAATATTCTCTATCAATGTTTTCAGTACCTGAGAATAAAGGGTTTGAGGAATCCGTGTGGCACATTGATGCTGACCTTTTCCCTCTAGCTTTGTAATTATTGCTTACCATGTTGCTTAGCAACTGTGTAGCATTATCTCCAAACCCAATATTAACTTAAAATACATTAGAAATGGAAATTGTAGAAACATGACTCTTAGGAATTGATATTGTTTCAAGTTAGTGTCAGCATAAAATGATATTATAAGGCAGGCCATACAATATAGAATATTTCTTGGCATTTCTGATTTAATATAAAGAATAAAGCAAACATTGAGGCACTTTAATTAATAGTAATAGAAATGTAATGGCAATAGAAGCCTTTAAGCCATCTTTTCAGTTCTCTTAATCTAAATAACTATCCCTGAGAGGAAGAGCAAAACAAAACCCTGAATTTTATACTTTTTTCTTCTTTGAAAATCATTCGCAAAGGCAGAAAAATGTAGCATTATTTTTTTTGAGTAGTACAATGCCATAATCATCTTAATGACCCTTATTATTCTCCTTTTCAAAATTTAGGCAATGCTTTGTGAAAGTATTGTTTAAGAATAAGCAAAAGCTCTCAGTTCCTATGAAGAAAGGAAAAATGGGTCACAGAGGGACACATTAATTACTCTGTCAACATCATTCGTCGAAAACCTACCCTCTAGGCACTATGCTATAATAATTACCAATAAGATGGGAATAATTTGGCCAAGCCAAGAGATATATTGAGCTAGGGTTCATATTACTGGTTATGTGAAAAACTAAGTGTGGAGAATTTCCATCAAGACCTGTATGACTTCCAAACATTTAAAGAATTTTCTCACAATGAAGATAAACACTGGTCCATATGCCTAAAAATGAAAAGGATTCAGGAAATACACGTGTGCCTTTGAAAATTGGACACTGAGTTGAAAGAGAAACGTCATTTTCCTTCTGATAAAATTCTCACCTTCTCCAAGTTAGTGGAAGGGCTCCTAGAGCAGTGGCTTTAACTTCTGAAGGGATAAGAACTGCTTCAAAATTTGACCAAAAACGTGGACTTTCTTCCTAGAAAAATTACAGATACTCAAAAGCAACATTTCACAATGAATTTCCAGGGTATGTAGAACTACAGAAACTTATCATGAAACTGGACACAAAATTAGAACCCTGATTCTAGAGAGTGTTCTTGGTGGGCGGAGTGGAGGGTTGTCAAAGGAAAGCGAGGGGCTTAGATGTAGAGTGTGTGCGGCTAAATGATATTCTCTGAAACTAAGAATTCCACATAAGTTACAACTGACTTTCCTCCTTAACCATTGCTAGACCCTTCCTAATTTCTCTACAAATGGCATAAGAAAAAACTAGGGTTTTGAACTCTGTCTCTGCTCTTATTTACCTAAGTGTTCTTGGACATCAATTAATCCTCCTTAACCTCTGTTTCCTGATCTGAAAATGGACGTATTACTTAATTCAAAAAATTATGATAAGAATTACATGAGATGACATACATGAAGTTCAAAGGAAGCCCTCACATGATATGCACTGTTTTATTTGCTAATGTGTACCAAAGTTTTGTATCTATTTCAATTTTTTTTTTAAAGATTGGCACCTGCACTAACATCTGTTGCCAATCTTTATTTTTCTTCTTCTTCTCCCCAAAGCCCCCCCCCCCCCCCCCCCACATAGCTGTATATCCTAGGTGTGAGTACTTCTGGTTGTGGCATGTGGGACGCCACATCAACATGACCTGAAGAGCGGTGCCAGGTCTGCGCCCAGGATCCGAACCAGCGAAACCCTGGGCCACCGAAGCGGAGAGTGCAAACTTAACCACTCAGCCACAGGGTGGCCCCTCTATTTCAATTTTAACTTATCGGCAAATAATTATTTAGCCAGAAAACTCTTTAAAGTAAAACAAGAGATGTCTGAAATGAAAATAATTATTTTAAAATTTCCCTGAGGGACATGTCTTTGTTGGGTATTTATTAGAAAAAAAAACTGGTTGATAAATTTGAGCTGTAGTAATGAAATGGGAAAAATGATTAGTTATAACAAAATTTTAGCAGAGATATTAGAGATAAGTATTTACAGATTAGCTATCTTGGTATATTTTAATAAAATTCTTCACATTATTAGAGCAAAATGATTTTGTTTTAGAGGTAAGTTGTATTTCAATTTCAATGCAATCCATTGTAAATCCCAGTCTTCTTTAAGATTTGTTAATAACAAATAACTAAAAATAATAAATACTATGCATTTGTATTAATAAAATATTTTTGACATTTCAGAGTGCAGATGATTCAGATATATCTGTCATTGCCCAGAACAAGAAATGCTTTGATAATGACATTGTTTGTTCTAAAAGTGTTTTGATTTCAGTTGGAGACACTGAAATTTACCTGAATGATACTCCTTACAAACAGGTTAGTGAATTATTTCTTTTAGGATCATTTTAACTTGTCCTAAGGATACTGAAAATAAAATAGAAACAATTTGGGGTACTTTTCTCTGTAAATGATTACAAGATTTAGATTTCTTTTTCTTTGTCATTTTACGTGGCTTCAGTAAGTCAAGCTTGACTTATCTCTTTTTCACACTCCACTGCTCCATATTCCAGTTCTTTCCTCTTGTCTTCATTGCCACGGTCACCATTTTGGCCCTAGCCACCCTCACCTATTACCTGGATTACTTCAACATCCTCCAATCTAGACTCCTGGTTTCCAGTATTCATTCCTCCTCTCTAATCCATCCTGCCACACTGCAGCCAAGGTGATTTTTCTAAAATGAAAATCAAACCTCCTGTCAGTCTAGTGCTTCAAAACCTTCAAATGACTTCCCATTGCCCTTTCAAGGACTCATCAATCCCATTGCCTACTTAACTCACCTCTCATCACTTTCTGCTTTTAGGCCATGTGCCAGAAGTTGGAGCTTTTCTCAGTTCTTCACATGCTCTATGTTCTTTCTCTCACCTCTGGTTCTTCATGAATGCCATTGCTTCCACTTGGATCAATCTTTCCATTTGACTTATTCCTATGTGATAGGTCTCATCTCATCTCTCTCAGGGAGCTCCTCCTTCATGCCATCAAGTGCCCTGTTATACGTGAATCACACTTGAGCGAAATTTCCTATGTGGCTGTCTATCTTCTCCATTTCTGTGAGAATTTGGACCATTAGGACCGCTGTCTCCATTGTTCATCCTTGTATCTTTGGAGCCTGCCCAATTTGAAACAATGAATAACTTTCATTCATTCATTTATTCATAATGTCTGCTGTGTACTAAAATCTATGTTAATTATTGGAACTAACACAATGCAAAGACACTATGCTTGCCTTTAAGGAGCTTATACTCAGGGGAGGAATACATTCAAGTAAATAAGGATGTGCAGTGTGATGTGCCATGGCAGGGGTGTGTATAGGATGGTATGGGAATCCCTGAGAAGAAGACCTAAGCCGACGTGGATGGTTGGGGTAGTTGTGAAGAGCACAGACTTTGGAGGCAGTCGATGCTGACTTTGAACCCCAGTTCTGTCACCTTCTTGCTGTGTCACTTTGGGCAGGCCCTCGAGGCGCTTAACCTCTCCAAGCTGCAACTTTCCCATCTGGCAATTTGGGAAGTTTACAGAATCGACTTCTTTAGTTCCTATGAGGGTTAAATGAAAGAATGAATTTCAAGAAAAGTCTGTCCTCTTCTTCTTCACCTTCCTTATTTTGGAAGGCTCAGAAGACATGCTCTGGATTAAATGATTTGAACTGAGTCTTAAAGGATGAGTAGGTATTAGCCAGATGAAAAGAGAGAGTAGAGAGGCATTTAATACAGAGGGAGGATCGTGTTGAAAGGAACGGAGCTGAAAGGTAAAATGGCGTGTTTGGAGAACTGCGGGTGGTTGAGTTTGGTTGAAGAGTATGGGGATAGTGGAGGGAGGGCGTGGCAGCGAGATTCGGGGAGGAGTGTCCAGACTGACTTCAAGGCAGGGGGCGTGGGGGCGAGGGCAGTAGAACGGAGGCTGATTCCAGACCACAGAGCCTCTTGAATGGTGTAAGATATTTGCACTTATTTTACAAGTAAGAAATTTTGGAGATGAGAAGTGACATGATCTGACATATGGCCTTTGAAAAGTGGCTGTTTTTTCTTTTTTAGATTTTAAAATAGTGTTTCTAAAAATTTGGTGTGAAAAACTTCTCCATTAAAATAATCTGGAATATTTATTGTAAGAGCTGATTCTTCGCCCCACCTCAGTAATTAGAATGGCTGAGGTTGAGAATGAAAATCAAGATTTTTAGTGGTACCCCAAATTCTTCTGCACACTAACGTTTGAGAACCAGTGCTCTAGAACATACCTTTTATTTCATTCAGAAACATTGAGACCAACCAGGCAGCGATCAAGTTTTGGGCAAAACAGAGTTTCTGCAGTCACCTTGACATCCTTTTGAACTAATTGCTGCAGTTTAGTATAACCACCAGCCAGATATTCTTTTAGAGGTGAAGGTTCTCTCTAAGAATAGGGATGTGATTCAAAAAAAAAGAAAAAACTGAAGAGAAAATGGTAAATGCTCTTATGAAAACAGTTGGACACATTTTTGAAGTGGTAATTACAGCTGTGTGTAACTTTCAACTTCAATTTTCACCTGTAAGCAGATGCTGAAGAATCTCCTTCACGGAGGTCATGATGTATGAAGGAAGAAGAAAAGTCGTAAAAATAGTTTGATCCTAACAAATCCCCTGCTAGTGTTTGTTTTTGAACATGAAAAGTGAAAATAAGTACCATTTATTTTATGGCAGATGGATTACTCATTTAAGGAAAGAAAATAAACCTTTTTTTCTTAATAAATGCGCAATTCTAAGTTTATCAAATATGTAAGATATAAACATTTTGTGAATTTATTTAAGCTGTACTTTAAATGCTTTAATTCTCCACAGTTACAGCTTCTCTTTCTAACATCACTAGAGTTTGTTTAAAGTGCTATGATTCTCATCCGAATTGGAGGTGTCTATATTGGGCAATTCATAATACCTCACTCTTCTAAGGAGAAGCATCCTTACTTCCTAATCTGAGAAAAAAGAGAACAGTATCTCCTTTTGACCAGAAGGATTATTTGTCCTGTCATAAACTGCCCTGTGTAACAAAAATGAAGGATTTTACCTCTACAGGTAAATAGGAAAGATGTTTTACATCAGGATAATTGATGCAAAACCAACCTGAAGGAAATCTGATCATAAGATGCTTTATCCAAAATTCATGTTGTGTTCTAGTGGTAAGTCAACCAATCTGAGGGAACTTTAATAGAAAAATACATGAAAGAATATTTCATGGATTTAAAAGGAGCTAGAAGCTACAAATATTTCATTTACTTGCCTTAATTGTTGCTGGAAGGTGAGACCTGTGAACAGGCCAGTGCAGGAAGGTGTTAAAAATACATGAGTCGTGCCTTGGTCTAGAAGCGGAGGACGCCACCATAAACTTGACAAAATACATCTTTCAAGGAGCTAACATTCACATGGGGGAAAGATGGATAACAAAGCCAAAGTCAGGTCCGGCAATAGAAAGGCACTGAAAAATGTAATCAAAACAATAAAAATAGGTTCTATGGCAGAGAGTGACTTGGGGCAGGACAGGCTACACATTGCATGCACCTAGTGAAAAATGAAAATGTGGGGCCCCTAGTCCAAAACAGGAAAACAATTCTTTCCTTTGTTTTGCAGTCTCTCTTGACCTGTAGTGATGTCTTTTTCTTTATCATTTAGTGCCTTGCTCACTAAGGCACACGGAAACTCCCAGGTTGGGTGCAGACTCTCACAGGCACGCAGGGCCTTGCCCCATACCTCCAGCTTGGCACTTTGGAGTAGAAGGAACTGAGGTCAGGTAGCATCTGTTAATAACATATACAGTTATACACAATATATACTGTCATATACAATATGCTGAGCACTTATAAATACGACCTTGCTCTAGGAGACCGAAAACTTATCATGGCTATGACTAAGTTTATTTAATTTTCCCTATGGTACTTTTATAAAAATGTCTACTGCAATATAGTGTTTCCAAGCTATGCTTTTATTATTACTGGGAGGAGAAAAATAACCAAACGATTTCATATTTTCTTCACAATTTTTATTTTGCTTCTGGATAAATTTGTTTTACTTACTTTGATTTAACCATGTAATTTTGAAAACTGTGTAATTTTGAAGTTATTATATGAGTTAATTTCAATGTCAAACTCAGTGTAATCTTTTGTAGAGACTAGCCCCTGCTCATAAAGAATATTGTACATTCTCATTTTAGGCTAAAGAGACTCTAAATTTTCCCAATGGGTTCCGTCTCTAGTCTCCCTACTATTATACTTTCTTCACATAAAGTATTTTCTTTTAATCTACAAACATGGTCGGTCACTTTCCTATTCAAAAGTATTGAGAATATTTTTCGCATGGAATAACCGCCCTTGACTATACAGGTGTCTTGGTTGCAAAGGATCTCAGACTATGCTTGCCATGGAATCCATACTCTCGTCCTTTGGTGCTCTCCTTAGTCCTGAACAAATCTTAGACTTTCCTGCCCCTTAAGCGTTTATTCAAGTGATTCCTTTTGTTTGGAGTGATTTCTTCTCCATTCTCTTTTCCAGCCCCATATACCTTCCGATGTATGGTCTTGTACAGATCAGTTCATAATCCACCCCTTGAGGAAGCCTTTCTAAGTCCTTTGTCCCTTTGATGGCAGTTCATTCCTCCCCGCCACGTATATATGTGTGCATGTGTGTGTATGTGTATGTCTGTATATATATATGCACAAACACACACACACACACTTTGTGCTTTTGTTGTTCAATTATGCAGGCAACGTCCTACATAGAAATCGTTTATTCATCATCAGTATAGAATTTCTGAGTCAGCAGATGTACCCTTTGTGTCCTCTCTGTCCACGCCCTGTTTATCTCTTTTCCGTATTGAAACACTTTTTCCTCTTTGCTCTTTTATCTGTGTTGAGCCCATCTCCAGTTTGTGTCTCATTACCAATTTTATGTATTTCCTATTTTATGCATTTGTTTTGTCTTTTACTACAGAATTCATAAAAGACAGGGCCAAGCAAAAATACTAGTACGTGGATATTTATTGGTGGCTATTAACTTAATTAATGTTTACGATGAATTCATGTTTTTCTTTATTTTGTTGTTGTTTTTTAAGAAACGATCAGGGTTTTTTCTGGAAAATAAACCTACATACCAGCTTTGGAAGGCAGGGTACTACATAGTAGTGTACTTTCCAGGGGAAGATATCACTCTTCTTTGGGACACAAAGACAACCATTCATATCAAAGTTGGACCACAGTGGAAGGTAGGTCAACCTAAGCTCCAAATGAGATGCAAAAAATGAAATTACATTTACCTTTTGATGTTTTATGGAAATAAAATGATTGATGTTTTCCTTTAAGAACGAGGTTATATTTTCAGAATTACTAACTCATTCACCAGTGTAGAACAACTTTACCTACCAGGTACAGTGTTGTGTTGGTTCTCTTTGACTTTAACTTTTCAGTATCCAGTTTTCCAAAGTTACTTGGGTCAGCTTCCTTCTTCCCACCCCCTTCAGTGTGGTCATGTGATATGTTTATAATACACTTAGATTCATTTGTTACAATCTACATTCCATCTTTTCCTCCACATTTTGGATATTTTTTAAAGTTTACCTATAGTAAAATTATTTTTTTAAATGTAAAAAATTTATTCTTATGATCTACAGTTCTATGGATTTTGACAAATGCATGGAGTTGTGTGTCTACCACCACAGTTCTATATAGAACAGATCTGTCAACTCCCAAATTTCTCCCATGTCGCCCCTTTATTGTCAGCTCCTAACTCTACCTTCCAACCCCTGGCAACCAGTGATCCATTTTCCATCCCTATAGTTTTGCCTTTTCAAAATATAATATAAATGGAATCCTACAATATACAGCCTTTTGGGTCTGGCTTCTTTGACTTGGCAAAATACATTTAAGATTCATCCTTATTGTTGACTGAATTAATAGTTTGTTCCTTTATCCTGCTGAGTAGCATTTTGTTGTGTGGATGTACCAGTTTGTTTTATCTATTCATGGTTGAAGATTCGATCTGGATTGTTTCCAATTTTCAGCAATTTGTATTTTAAATTGTTTTAAATCTTCTTTTCTATTAAATATTGTAGTATTATTAAATATGTTTATTTTAAATGTTTAAAATTTTCTTAAATATTTTAAAGTTGTTTTTAAAACATTGATATATTTTAAAAATACAGTTTATCTGAAATTGAAATTGAGACTTGTGGATATAATCTGTCTCAAGTAAGGGAAAAATCGGGATAGTAACATGTTCTCATAAAACTATGGAAAAAATACACATTTAAAAGATTTTAATATATTGCAAATTTGAGATATAATTGTATATTGAAGACATTTTCTTTCCCCTAAGTGAGATAAAGCCCAAAGATCTATTCCTAGGTGTTTGCTGGCTTCTTGCATTTCTTTGGTGAAGATGAAATGCTTTTGTCATTGCTATGCTTCTTTAAATATTTTTCTCTACTCTTCTCCATCATTATCCTCCCTTCCCTAGTTTTTGGAAACAAATTAGCCATTTATTTTTATACATGGCCCCTACTGCTGCGTTAAATCCTTGGGTGACCGGTGGTGGAAGTGGCTACTGTCTTTGCATAGATATTGTGGCTGCTGAGAGCAGAGGTCATGGCAGCTGTAATACTAGGGTTATTGTCAGCTTTGCCAGAAACACAGGCCGCCTACTTCACCATTCAAGAAAGGCTATATTCCATTCTCTAGTATGGAGAGAGCTCAGTTTGTTTAATTTCAAAGTTTTAAGGAGGATTTCCGTTGTTTTTAGAAGGTCATTCTTTCCTGTACTCTTAGTCTACCTTCTTCCCCTAAGAATGAAGTTTTTCACATTATTTGAGAAAATGCATTGGACATTGTTGATGTAAATAATCCATATGGCACTTGCGGTAACCATTTCACAACCCCTAACAATCTTTATAAAAATTAGGTAAAACTTGGGTTTCCATTATTGTGTCTCATGGTTGCATGATTTGTGAATATTAAAGTTAACTTTTTCTTTAAAAGTTATGTTTTGAATGTTGTGCTTTTCAAATCTGATGTAGAGAAAACTAAATTATTCTTATTGTTTCAACATATATAGTGTTATAAAACCTTAAACGTGTCAGGAGATAGATCTTTCGTCACTAAAAATTTATTTACATATATATATATAGTGTATATATATACACACACAGACATACTGTAGTGTTTGTATTATACTTTTCCAAGTTACTTATGTTGTTAGTTATATCAATGCTAAGACATTGGTAAGGGTGGAAAGATAAAATTTAGGGAATGATAAAACATTTTTGAGAATTTGAAATAATTGTTAAACTTAATTAAATATGTATGAAATTCCACCTTCTTGAAACATGTTTTAAATGGTTGTGAAAATTCTGAAAATGTCTATTTTAAAATTTTAATGAACATGAGTCCTTAAATGTTAAAATGAGCATAGAATATTCCATGTTAATTTTCTTTTACTTTAGAACAAACTCTCAGGATTATGTGGGAACTTTGACAAATGTACTTCAAATGATATGACCACATCTAATAACTTAGAAGTCAGAAATGCCCAGGTATTTGGAGATAGCTGGGCATTGGGACAGGTAAGTTGAATACATGTGTTTTAGAACTAAACAAATATTTTTTGATATATTTATTCACTGGAACATATGACTCTTACAAGAAAAATTATTTACATAAAACTATTTTATGTAATATTTGTATAGTAATTCACAGTTGACAAACCCCTTTCTCATTTATCTTCTCATATCATTCTTGTGACAACCTTGCAATATGAAGGATATTTCCCCATATTATAGATGAAGAAATTGAGGCTCAGGAAGGTTAAATGATGGGTCTAATATTATAAATTTAGGAAGAAGCAGAGGCAACATTCACATCTTCTAATCTCACACTTTTCATTCCATAGCAAAATGCTTTATCAATCTGTTTGTGTTTCGAATGATGTAACTTTTGCCAACTCAAAGCAAGGAATAAATAAAGGCAGAATTTCTTAACTTGTTAACTCTTAATTTGTTCTCTGGAACATGGCTGTGTGTGGGGGCGTGGGGAAAGGTGGGGAGTGGATTGACCAAAGTTGTGGTCAACTATGGGAGCAGTTTGAATAAATTATTAGATATATTTCTTTTTTGAAGGATTTCTTGAAGCATCATAAGCACCCAAGAGAGGGAGTGTTTGAAGTATTTCCCAAACTTAATGACACAGAAGCTATATTTTCATGTATTAGTTTTCAAGGAAAGTGTGTTTTATGGGACACACTGTGAGAAATGATGAACTCAGAAAATTGAGTCAAATTGGAAATTGGTTCTACTATCTTCTACCTTTTTTTAGCCTGTTTTTGTTTCTACTGAAAGGAGTGTCCACAATTTCCTGATTGATTACTATTTGGTTAGTTACTTTACTACTTTGTCTAATTTATTTAATATATCTAAATCTCTTCAAAAAAATAAAAGAGGACTGGGGCAAACATCTATTCAGTAAAATTTATGCAGCGTATTTCAGTTAGGTCTAAGCTGAAGAGTGTAAAGATTTTATTTTTTCTTGTATAAGATGTCCACTGTATGGAGAGAAACAAAATCCTTTTTATTACAGCCATCAGAGATCCTGTTACATTTAGAAGTTTTTGAAGAAAAACTTGCCTCTTTTTAAATGAATTAAGTAAAAATTAATTTATAATAATACTTAAATATTTAGACTAATTAAAGAATTTTAAACTCACTAAAATATGTTTTCTTATACCGTGTCATGGACAAATCCGAATATAAAATTTTTTCATTCAGTAAGTTTTATTTAGCACTTAGTGTTTTCCAGGTTATATGAACACACAATATGATTAAAATGCAGCCTTTGTCGCTAAGGAATTTAGAGTCTGGGTTAGTAGATGAAGTAGAAAAATTAGCAAGGAAATTATGAGATAGGGGCTTTGATAGAGGTGAGCACAATGTGGAGTTAATAATGGTCAAAGGAATGTTCCTGAAGAAGGTGCCATTGAGCTTGAAAAGTGAAGATGATGGGAAAGAGTATAGCAAGGAAGGAGCGAGCAGCCTTAAGAAGGTGTCAGGAAGACTAGAGTAGGATGGTGCCTAATGGGAATTTCAAGAAGTTCAATATGGTGGTGGGGGATTCTTTGAAATAGGGAACGGCTGGAATGCAAAGTATGGAGCTGCAAGATGGGAGTGCCAGGATCTGGACTTAAACCCCTATGCTAGTTAGGAGGCTCTTATAATCTAGCTGGCAATGTTAGGTCTGTGGAGACTTAGAAAACTATATGAATTTGAGAGACATAAAAGATTAAAATCATCAGCGTCTGTTGAAAGGTCGTGTTAGGAAGGATGGATCTGGAGAATTCAAGAAAGTCTCTTACCTTCCTGGCTTATTGGGTAGATGCTGGTGCTCTTCCCTGAGGCAGGGCAAAGCCAGGGTGGGGGACAGTGGGGACAGGACAACAGTGTAGAGATAAGTACAGGGTAGAATGTGTTGACAGAGAAGTGAAAGAGATGTTTATGTGGAAATGTCCAGTTTTGAGATTCAGGAAAGAGACCTGGGCTGGAAATATGGATTTGGCAGTGACTAGTATATTCAGGCTGTTGAAGCCCTGAGAAGTGTATAGAATGAGAAAAACAGAGGTTTGAGGATCAAGCTTTGCAAAGAAGAGATGGGGAAGGAGAATGGGGAAGGGCAGCCAACAAATTAGGAGGAAACCCAGCAGAAAATGGTGCTACTGAAAACAAATGAGAGAGATGTCTAAGAGGGGCAAAGTAACAAACAGAATCAAAGGTAGCGAAAGGTCCAGTGAGATGAAGACTGGACAAGCTGCTTTTATATTTAGTAATGAAGAGCTCATGATGACCCTGCCAGGGCAGTTTCAGGGAGGTGAATTAGAAGAGGCAGAGAGCAAATTGCTGAGTGTATGGGAGGTGAGCCTGTAGACACATGACTATGTACAACTCCTCAATGGATGGCTTGTGAAGAAATGAAAGAGGTGAAAATTAAAGTAAAGAAAATCGTTTGTTCATGTAATTTGTTTTTTAGTCACGTAAATGCTACATTTAAGACAACTTAAAAATTATTGACCTCTGCTCTCTCTCTCTAATATTGCATGATTTTAATTGTGTGTTTACTTGTTTTCAAAAGTAGTGTATGCTATTAACATTGAGTTGGCTGAATGCAGGTGCTTTAGGTACAGTCTATCTAAAAGAAGCAGAATATGTTAGATGCGACTGTGATGGACAAAGTTAGGATAGGTTACTCTGGGTTCAGCTTCAGAAATCACCCCTTTGAAAACTTTCTTTTCTCCCTTAATCTTCTCAACAGTGTGAAAGCCCAAGTGAATCATTTAAACCCTGTGAAGCACATCAAAACAAGTTTCCTTATGCCAAGAAGGAGTGCTCCATCTTGTACAGTGATGTTTTTGCTCCTTGCCACAATGTGGTAAATGAATACTTTAATAAACTTCCAAATTCATGTGGGTACTGCTGTATCTATAATATTGAGATGAACAGGACAAATAATTGAGTTGGCCATTGGATTTTCAGGTGTACTGCCTAACCATTGGTAGGAGGACAAAGTTGGTAGTTTGTTTTTCTGTAGAAGTGATGAATTTAGTTGATTTACTTTCTCCCTCACTCCATCTTATTTAACAACATACATTTGTACAGAATATTTGTAATAATCTGTTTTAGTGTATGAAGCAGTTTTACATACATCATCAAAGCCATAAATGATTGACCAAAGCTATAAGTGTTTTTCTCCAGATAATATTGCCAAATAGGCATTCTTCTCCTCAACCCAAAATTTAATTTAAAAGTATTACTAATGGCACAGTTAAAATGGGTTTAGAAGCCCATCACATGATGGGATGTGATTTATTTAGAAATTTAAATTTCTAAATGCCTTTCTAACAGAAAACTTTTAGGTCTCAATAGAAGTTTAGAAAATAGTTTGATATTCATAAAAATCAAGTAAAAGTACAATTGGTAACAACATTCCTTTAATTCTGTGTGAATATACCAATAAGGAAACAATGAACATCTGCAAAATATTAATCTGTTATATTGCAGATCCTGAAATTGTATTGGTTTGTAAATACCCTTACATGTTTTGCTAGCTCTTTGAGCTTACATTGGCTTAATCAATTCCTTTCTCCTTTGGGCAATATAGAGGGTGAAGATATTGAGAATTTTCTAGGTGGCAGTGTTAAGCTGATAATTTCAAGTGTTGAAACTCTTATCAGTTAGTTTTCTTTTAGAAGGTTGAATTTTAATCAATTATAGCTAGTACTTACCAAAACTGTTTCATCTTTCACTTCATTTTCAGATTGATGTTACTTCTTTTGCCAAAAATTGCCATGAAGACACATGCAACTGTAATCTTGGTGGGGATTGTGAATGTTTATGCACGAACGTAGCAGCGTATGCATACAAGTGCTGTCAGGAAGGGGTATCGGTTCACTGGAGGTCATCTACTATCTGTTGTGAGTACCCACTTAGACCATCATAGGTGGCAACCTTATAAGAAGATCTATATTAATTGTCTTATCATAGAACTAGCACCATGGGACTCTTGGAAATAGACTTTTCTTAAGATGACTAAATTTTATATTCTTCACAATGGAGATAAATTGTAGTATAGCTAAAGGATTTGTAAAAAGAAAAATTTAAGATAACCATCCTCAGAGAAATTGTTTATGACTCCATTCTTCTTATGGCTGTGAAGTTTCACTGTCCTGATATAGGAAACATATTTTTAAAAACATCATTTTGAATTTGGTTTCAGATTTAACTCTTTAAACTTTTCATTTACTTGTGTAGATGGTAAGTCATCTCAAGAGCAGCTTATGATTGTAACACTTCCAGTTGTCATACCTATAAATTGATCTTATGAAATTTCATTAGTTACAACACAACACTCTTAAAGAATTGTCTTTGCTCAAAGGAAGTTCCCAAATAATGATGTCACTCTGCGTTCTTACACTCTGTCATTGATAAACATGTGACCTTATCACACACATTTAGGTAAGTGGTCAGAGTATTATATAGTTTAATATTTCTTTTTTTTCTTTTAGCACTTGATTGTGAATATTACAATGAAGGTATGTGGCATTTAAAAACTATCACTATAGTATTTTATTAAATGTATCTTCAGATTGAAAGTTTTTTAACAACTTTGCTGGGAACAAAGTATGACTAGTCCATAATTTGGTATATAGCTAAATGAAAGCCTTTGCGTGCTAAAATATGTCTAAATTTCGAAGTATTTGCGTTAAAATTTATTCCCTGCAAAATAAAAGAACGTGTAACTAAGTTCTCAGCACCTGAGGCCCTCAATAATTTTTGAATGAAATGAATGAATGAATGAGTAAAGTTACCTAATTGTTTAGGTAAAAAGGATGAAAGATAACCAAATGCATAACTTTTACCATTATGTGTAAATATAGACGTTATGAAAACTTTTATTATGTTTTAGAAATCAAAGAAAGAAACTATAAATGTGATGATAATAATATAAAGAATTTATTTGCCTCTCTCTGTAGGCAAAAATAATTATTTAAATACTGTCAGAATGAGAGCTTATCTTTTTAGTAATGATAATGGAAATCTCCTAGCCCCATCAAGCATCCAAATTTGCAATGAGAAGTGTAAGAGGAGGTGCTGCCTAAAATTAAGGCCTAGATGTAAAAGACAGAGGTTATATCCTCGGTGAAAATGCCAAGAGTCAGCAGAATTGGAGCCTCCTTTTCGTCAAACCTGTTTAATGAGGAAGGCATAGCCACTTAGACCTAATTTCAGACAGGTATGATGATCCAGGAAGGTGACCAGTGCCAGTGACTGGACAAGCTCTGGACCCATGATGGACAAGTTAGAGTAATAGTTATAGGAAAGCTGAGCCATTGAAAAAGACCCAAGCAACCCACCCAAGGCATGTTTGGTAATTTATTGAGCCAGGGAGAAATCTGCTTGCTATAAATGTCCAAAGAAGGCCAGAAAATTTTAGAGAAATAGAGATGATGAGTTAAAAAGAAAATGGACATTTTAGTTTTCGGTTGTTTTGTTACATTTATGGAAGTTTGATGGGGGAAAAAATTCAACATTAAAAACATTCTGTGATAGTTAAAGAAAATCTAAACCAAAAATATTTCCTTCTCAGGGTTTTAAACACACTCACACACACACCCAAACACAGTCCACATCAATCCTTTGAATTCCGTGCTTAAAATGAGACTGATTGCCTAATATTAATAACAGTAATAATAACAATAACTTTTATTATATTACTTACTTTACTTATACCATATAATTTAAGCTTCAAAAAATGCCACTATGATAAGTGTTATTAACACTTTACAGAAGAGGAAATTGAAGCACAGAGGGAGAAAATAACTTGGCCAAAGTCACCTAGCCTAAATGTCATAAACTGGACTTTGTAAACAATCTGAGTTCAGAATCAAGGGGCCTGACTCTATGCTACACTGCCTAGTGTGTGGTTAGCACATCCTGGTCCAAGAAGGATCACCACACATCTTTATCATGTGCTCCACACAACACACACAGACATCAATTTGAGAAAATGCTCGAATAACTCCTTCAGTTAAGAATTCCTGCCTCACACAGTTCTGCTGTGAAAATCTCCATCTGTGCCTTGTCTTTTCCAGTGTTCCTTCTGCAGTCCCTTCCAGAAGCAGAATTTTCTGTGAATATTCAATTTCTACCTCTTGCTACTTAGTGCATTTTCCTTTCTGTCAACAAGTCTGGTGCACTTCTAGCTATGGTTCTTGTCTCTAATGTGTTACACGAGTCTTCCAATCAGTTCTTCTAGTTCCATTTGTAACACTGCATTGGTCATATTCAGAGGGTGGACACAGGGCACGTGGCCTTCCGGAAGCACTGATAGACTCAGAGGAGTGACGGGGAATGTACTTCCTATAATCACAGTAATACGGAAAAGCATCAATCTGCCAAGGAGAATACGAGTTTGTAAAAATAATGTAATGAAGGTAGATGATTGAAAGAGAATATAGAACTGTGGAAATTGTTGGTAGTAGTAATGAAAAGAAAATTATTTTAAATTATTATTCTTAATTGTTTTCATCCCAAATAATTTCACAGCTATTGTAAATTTACCTAGTCTTCTTTGGATATTCATAGCTGACGTATTTCTCCTTTTATTTACTACATACTGGACGCTGTTATTGAAATACTTATTATTTAAAACTAATGCAGACATAAATAATTGTGATTCTGTAGGAGGAAAATTAAAAACGAGTTGGAGAATTTAGAGGTAACAGTACAAATTATCTCAATAATCCTTAATACAGAGACTGTATGTATTGTCTTCATATTCATTTTATGACGTTTGCTAAAAATATAAAGAGTTTATTGTTATTGCCATAGGTGAGTAAAGACTTCAATATCCTGCTAAGGATTCTTGTGCAAGTTTTAAGTTCAGAGTGATTTTATTAGACAGGACATGCTTAATGCTGCATTTAAACAACCACTGCAGGAAATGATTGCTTTTAGCAGATGGTCAAATTATACTTATTCTCACAGAAAATTAATGATAAAGTCAATGACTTTTGTCTGTCAATTGCTGGCGAAAACGCATGAAAGTAATCCAGACGCAAGATATCAATCAACTGGGAGTCAATTCAGAAGCTTTCGATTTTTATACCAATGGATTTCTCAGACAACAATTGTCTCAGGGTTGCTGCAGTAGGGGCTTGTGCAGTAGGGAGAGAAGATTCTGTTTAGGTGCCTGTTTCTCCTATTCTAATGCTGAATATTTGTGAGGGCATTTCAAACCTCCAAGTTGTAGTTTATATATGTCTTCTTCATTTTGAATTGTATCTCATGATGATTTACATATTTATCTACTTATTTATATAAACAAATCAATATATTTATAAATTGAAGTAAATTGCATTTTGGAAGTCTTTGTTCCTTTTATCTTTCTTAGAAGACAAGGCAGTAGGTGGTGGAGACTAATGATACAGTTTTCTTTAGTGGTTGTAGATTTGGGCTCATGGGGAAACACTGTGTGTTGTGTACATTTGTAACAGTGTTGGGGACCTCACTGCTGCCTGGCTCATAGAGAAATTCCCCGCTGTGTCTGCTCAGTTCCTTGTTGGTGTAGGGGCAAAATTCTTTCAAGTGTCCATCTCTACTCAAGGTGTCCAAGACCCTGATAAAGCTCTTTTCCTCATGCCTTTGAAGTGCCTCTAGCTGTTCACTGATGAGGTGTCCCAGCTGATGAGTCAGTAGAAGAAACAACACTGGAAGATAACTTATCCTATGAGTCTCTGCCTCTTCTCCTGGGCCTCATGATGGAAATTTTGGTTCTCGTTCTCCTTTCTACTTGAAAGGTTTTTGACCCTTTAGTCAAATGATCTTCTCCCTTTCTCTCAGGGCGTGTCTTCAGCCTGAAAGGGAAAAAACCTACTCCTTGGATTTCTTTGAACTTTTATTTCCCTCTGTGTTAAGAGTAGACTGGGAAAGGAAAATTGTCCTTGAGATAAAATTAAAGAAAAGAAGAGAAGTGAAATTCACTGAAAGCAACCAGATTAATCTTTTATGATATCAACTACTACATGTGTATTAGCATTTTACATAACCTACAACATAAAAATATACATGTACCTGTAAAAAGTCTACAGCTGATACTTATGTAACTTAATTTTGATGATTTAGAAGAAACTTCAAAGTTTGTAGTATCTCAGTTATATTAAGAACATTAAATGGCAGAGAGATAGGGTTGAAAGTAAACTGACCTTATTATCATGAAATCTAACTCATAAAAATTTTTTACTATTAGTCAACTTGTTTATAATTTATATACTTCTCTTTATAAGATGAAGTTTGCAGAAAAATTATTCTGGTTGAATTTCAGGTTTGGTTCTATTTTACTATAGTAAATATTTCCTACCTTGTATGCAACGATTTAAGAGCATGGACAATGACAGAGTTAGTAAAAAGATCTTCGATTTCTGTTGAGCTTCAGCTTATTTTCTTTTTTACAAATGTGCCTCTCTGGTGAAATTCAATAATTCCCAGAACAGTAGAATGTTGTATATCATGTCTGTGAATTCTGTTTTCATGTAACACAACCTACTAGGGAGAGAAGGTTTTTAGAAGACTGTCAAAATATCTGGCCGTTGATAGAGTTAAATTTATGTTTGCTAAAGGAAAGTAGAATCTTGAAATATTAGAGTAGAAGGTTAGTTAGAAAACTCTTTCATCTAGGTGAGAAAACATGAGGTCCATAAAGCTTAAATCAACCTCATATCTGGCACTGAGTTACATGTACATATACGCATTTGTATGTGAGTGTGTATATATATATATATATGTATGTATATTCTAAATTACATAATTTAAGTAATGTATATATTCTAAATCATTATAATATATTATTTTTTAAACAGTTCAGTTATTTTACTAGTGACAAATGTTTAAATGTTCAATAATTTTTGAAGTATCTTTTGTTATTAAAATTCATTCCATTGAAATGACAACTTGAAATGTAAAATCCTATGCCAATGTATAATTCTCTTATTTGCATTTAAATAGGGCTTGGAGAAGGACCATACATGCTGGCAAGTTATGGGCAGAGTGGCCTTGTTCTGGGGGCCAATATAAGCAGTAAAAGCGTTTTCTCTTTGCCAAGAAGTAGTATTCATGGCAATATATTTTTTAGTTTTATGATCACTCCAGGTCTTTTCAAAGAGAAAGCATCATGTAAGTATAATTTCCAATGGAAAATAAGAATTTAGTTTTCCATTTACCTTTTTTTCATTTATTCATTCACTAAATATTAATTTGGGATCTAATATGTTTATGGCATTTTTCTAGGTGCCCTAAAAGATATAAAGTGAGACACTGGTACCTCCTATCTCTTTTGTATATGAAATCATTTCTTTGTGTATCTATTGGCATGTGGATGTTAGAATTGTCATTGTTTGATTGAGTTTTTGGTCCCAAATAAAGCACAGCTTAAATTTTCGCAGCATTAATCACAGAACTTAATTTGAAATTTTTGAAAAATAGTCCACTGATAGCTAACATTTGAAGGAATTTAACACCAGATTAAAGTAAAAAAAAATTGTGATTTGACATCAAAGAAGTCAAACACGAAGAGCATAAATCAGAGTCTAGACAGTTGTTGAGACTGTTATCCTTCTGTGGCCTTGTCTCTCCTGGTGTCTGGCCCATGCTTACTGGTTTGCACCTGCAGATCTATAGTGATCATATCCCCTTGGCACCTGTTCTGACTGGTGGTGGTTGTCCTCTTCTGATCTGATATGCTCAGGCTACAGAGTTACTCTACTAGCCCTCCTTAGAACCATGCATGGTGTGTTGTATAAGCTTAGGAAATATTTCTGGAATGAATGAATCCAACTTAACTTTCGCTTATTCTGAGAAATCTCCTGATTCTCTAGTTAGAATAAATTGCTTCTTTCTTGTAAAGAGAGCTCCTTTAGTTCTTTTCAATCTGTGAAAACACCTATTGCACACAGAAGTTCTAATTTATGTGTTATATATTTTTTCTCTTATAAAGATTTCTTTTATTCTTATTTGCATCTTCCAGTGGTCAGCAGAGGGACTTGCAAGTTTAGGACACAATAAATGCCTTTGGAATAATATATTGGATTTGAGAGAGTTCTTCATTGTATGATTTACAATAATTAATGCATTTAATAGAAAAATTCTAGTGGATTTAAAGAAACTAAGACCTAAAGAAATTAAGGCCGAAGAAATTAAATCCAAAAATCTCAATTAAAAAATTTTTATACCATGGGATTTACAAACATAAGGGAAACATTTAAAGCACGTCGCAAAAAAGGATAACACTTCTTAAATTCTGTAGTTGTTTGTTAGCTATTTGATCATCTATTGGGGAATAGACAACTGTGTTGAGCAAATAGTCTTTTCTTAATGCAGTAAAATCACTTGCAAGATCATTTGCTCATTGAGAACCTAGTGATATTGAAATGCAGTGCCATGCCTAAATTGATCTGTTTCTCTATTCTCTTATTGTTTTCTATCATCTGGCTTAGCCATTTGTAGATTGCATGCCTTTGAAAATGTTAAAGCCTACAAGTACAAATATATATCCAATTCATCATTCAATTACTTGTATGAAAGTGTACGTTCTGGGGTCCTAAGTTGATATCTCTTTTTTTCCCCAAGGACATGATACATTATTTAAAAAATAGAACTCATCAAAGACTGATTTTTTTTGGAGCTGTCACTTATTCATTTCATTAAAATACTTCCTTTTCTTTGAAATCTTATACTTCATTTCTGAAATTGTTGAGATTGGTGTTAATTATGTATGGCAATTGCTCAGGTCTATTTTTGTCAACTTTATAAATGAGTTTTATAATCCCACTGTTGACTATCTGCTTTCTCCAGAGAACCCAGGGGTTGTCAAACACTCTGCTCTATCTTTTACAGCACTGGCACTTGTTTCCTTGGAATCTGCTGAAAGGCCAAACTACTTTCTCTATGTCCATGATGATGACACTCTGAGTCTGGAACTGTGGAAAGCAAATTCAGCCTTTCATCAGAGAGCCACATTTTTCCACCATCAGGGCCTCTGGATTCCTGGTTACAGTGCATTTGAGCTATATAGCAAGAAAGGATTTTTCATCATACTCACAGATTCTAGTATCAAAGCATCAAAATATGATGATTCTGAAGAATTTAAACGTTCAAGTAGCTTCAGCATAGAAGGTATGCTGAATAGATAATTCAAAAGGAGAATAGATAATTTACATAATGGCAGAATATTTATCAGGTTTTGATTTTTAAGTCATTCTTAATGGAGTATAAGTGGATAGAGTTGTATGACACTCCTTGAGTAAGTTTCTTAACCTCTCTGTCCTTCAGTTTACGCATCTGTAAAATGAGAGAACAATACCTACTTTATAGGATATTGAGTTACATAAATTAATTGGTAAAATGCTTAGAACAGCCTTAAATAATGTTATGTTTAATTGTTGCCCCAGTTGTTACTCTCAGTGCTTTCTGGACTCTGGAACTGGAGCTCACCCATGTCTCATGGGTGTCTAGTGTTTCCATGTACTTTTTGTTTCCTAGAAGACAACTCCTCAGTAACCTGATTCCTAATGATAAAGACAACATATTTATCTCTGTCTTTTGAATAGTAGGGTGTCCGGTTCCACAGACTTCTAGATTTCCCTGGTTCAGTAGAAGCCTGTTCTTATTTCTAGGGATCCTTATAGTTCTACAGCTATTGAATTTTCTGAATTTCAGAGAGGATCCTCATCCAGTGTGTAAAAGTTATGCTTTATTTTCAAAACCTAGGAGTTTGATATCTGCCTTGGTCTCCAAAAAAATTGTTTCATTCTAACCAACTCTCTAAATCAGTCTAAGAGAGCTAGTCACTTGCCTTTTTTGTTGTGGATAAATTTCTATAAATCAAGAGAGTCTGGATTTTAGAGAATTCAAATTGAGCCACAAATTTTTGTCTATTGAATAGGGTTCCTATATTCATGAGAAAAGAGTCAATGACATGTCTATACAACATTCTATAGAGAGATGTGATAATTTTACTTGAATTTCCTTCAGAGTTGAACTTCACAAGCCTCTGTTTCCCCTACAATCTAGAAATCTGCTCCATTAGCACCAGACCTACTGGCCCCACCTGAGCTTTGAACAACTGCAGCCAATGGCATCATCAGAGTCTCAGAAGCTTATCTTTGCAGGCTTCCTAAATCTGGAAACTCTAGGGGTCTACTCTAGTCTTAGAACTAATCTTCTCCCAGAACTCATGATCCCAGTAACCCAGGACTAGCACTTATTCTACTATTTAGATGCATAGAGACCTTCCAGAAAGTCTTATTTTCCTTCCCATACCTTGGAACTGAATTCTGTATCCAGATTGCAAGAAACATAACCTTTCCCCTGAATGTTCTCCCATATGGAGCTCTCCTCCTCAGAGATAGTTTTGGGCTGCAGCAGGAGGACTGATCTGTGATGTGGGAACGGGAGGGTATGAGCAGAGTTTGAAGGAGAAAAATCTTCAGTCAAGGGAGGTTGGATAACGGCAAACATGTATTATTAAAATCCATTCATTTATTTTTTTGTCATCAAAAAATACTTACCTTCTACAAGGCAATATGCTAACTTCTCTGAGAAGAACAAAGATGGAGTGTTGTCCCTAGGTTTGATGTCAGGAAACATGTCTTTGGGCTTGCCATTTTCCTAATTGCTTGAACTCGGCAAGCCGCTTGCTTCTCTGAGCCTCAAGTTCTTCATTTATAAAATGGAAACAATATCTACTCAACAGGGTTGTTGCAAGGATAAAATAGAATAACGGACAAAACATTACTTTGCAAAATATAAAATTCCAAACAGGTGTTTGGTGTTATTATGATATGCAGATCAATGAGAACCCAGTACACAGAAAGAAAGGAAGATTGAGAATTTTCCTTTGCCTCCTCCAACACTTTGCTTTTTTAAATCTTTGGAATATAGACTAACATTTAGATATTCAACCTGAGCATGAAATGCTTTGATCACAAAGCAATTACAGGGCATTTTTTTTTTTTTTTTTTTTACCAGCCCTGTCTTTCCCAATGCATTATGGTCAAAGAGGAGTCAAACTTTAGAAGAATTACTATCATAAATCGCTATTTTTCAAGCTGTACATTAAAAATATACATAATCTAAACTTTATTTTTTCCCCCAGAAATCCAGGCAATAGTGCCTTACAGGAGGATGTGTGAATGGAAATATGAACCTTGTGCCACTCCCTGTTTTAAAACGTGTAGTGACCCTGAAGCACTAGCGTGTAAATTTCTTCCACCGTAAGTCACATTTAACTATTCAATGAGCAAATTTCAGCATTAGCAGATTTGGATCTCAGTGAATGTTTTTAGATTAAAAAACATTCTCAAGAATAATTTGTATCTGATATATGTGTGTATATATGTGTGTGTGTGTATATATATATATATATATATACACACACACACATATATACTCATTCCTGAATTTATTTCATTTTATTCAAGCAGTAGTTACTGAGAGTCTGCTATATGTGCTATGTGCCAGGAATTCTTCTAGCTGCTAGGGACATAGTACTGAACAAAACAGATGAAGTTATCTGGCCTTAGATAGCTTACATTTTGGTGCATTGAGGCAGAGAATAAACAAATAAAAATGTAAATATATAATGCAATATATTGTTAGATGGTGATATGTATTATGGAGAAAAATAAAGGAAGATAAGGGAGACCGTGTGTGTGTTTGCTAATTAATATAGGGTGGCTAGGGAAAAACATGCTGACGAGGTGGCATCTGCTCAGAGAGCTGAAGGAAGGGAGGGAACTGGCCGCTGGATATCTGGGGAAAGAGCCTTTCAATCTGAGAACAGTGCAAAGGTCCTGGGGTAGGAATGTATTTGAGGATAAATGAGGCCAGATATTTGGAGCAAAGTGAACAAAACTGAGAGAGGTGGGAGATGAGACTAGAGAATCATAGTGGTATGCAAATCATATGGGACCTTGTAGCCCATTGTGAGGACTTTGTCTTTTTCTCTGAGTAATGTCCTGGTGTATTTTCGGCACAGGAGCGACACGATCTGACTTATGTTTTAAAAAGTTTACTTTGGCTCTTGTATTGAGTGTTGGGGAGGGGAAGCACAAGGGCAGAACTGGTTGGTAATACAGATAAGACAGGAAGGAGAATTGATTGAGGAGGTTGCTAGCCCTGGAGGTTAGAAGGGAACAGATTCTGGGTATATTTTGCATTCGGGCTGCTGATGGATTTCGTATCAATTGTGAGAGAAAGAGAAGTTCAGAACCCCAGTTTGAGTCTCAGCAATTTGCAGGTTTCAGGACCCTATGAAATTGCCACTTTTGTGGTCAAAATTGTCAAATATAAGCAAATTCAAACGACTCAGTTTAATGGAAGGGCTGAGTTACCGCTGACGGGGGTAAGGACGACGTTGGGAGGAGCCGTCTGGAGGACAAGTCAGGAGTTTGGTTTTGAGGATTTTAAATTTGAAACTGAAAATTGTTCACTCAATTTGGCAATCTGGAGAATGAGAAGAGGCAAAATGAAGCAGAGAATGTAAACAGCTTTTTTTTTTTTAAAGGAGTTTTGCTGTAAGAGGAGAGGAATGGAACATGAGTAGGAGGAAATATTTTTAAGAGTCATTTTACTTTAGGCATTTATGAGCTTCTATTCTACGACAAACACTGGCGTTACAGACGGTCTTGGGCGTGTGAACGAATGAGATGCAGCCCCTCTTTCAGGGAGCTCCGTGTCTTTAGGAAGAAGACAGAAACAAAAGCAGACAGTGACAATACAGCGGAAAGAGGACTAGAGGAATAACAACAACCATTATCAGGTTTATGTATTCACAGCATGACTATAGAATAGGTAATCTCATTATTCCCATTTCAGAGGAGAAAATCAACCGAGGCACAGAGACATTACACAGTTTGCCCCAGGTCACACAGTTTGTAGGCAGAGCCAGGGTTTGAGCTACTACACCCTGGTGGGTAACAAGTGCTGTGGGAGCAGAGAGAAGGAAATGATATTTCTGTTTATTTTCTTGAAAATAAGAACAACCGATTCTTTCTGGAAAGGAGATATCTTCACCATTCACTTGGACCCCTCACACTCACACAACTATCTCCTTTCCCTCACGTAGCCGTTAGGAGTGGGGGAAAAAATTGGGCCCCTTAGTGAGGAGCAAGAAAGGAAAGGAAGGAAGGAAGAGCAAAGACCATGACTGGCCCTGGCGCTGGGGAGGAAATGGAGCTATATTTTGAAGTGGCATTTGGCTAGTTTATTACTTCCTGTGGCGTACTCAGTCTTGGAGGTGGTTGAATCCAGATTCTCAATGCCTCCATTGTTCGGTCTGTAGCTGTCCTGAAGTTTCCTTTTTGGTATGGTCAGGACACAGAGAAGAGCGTCAGGATGGAATTTCACCCCGCCAAGCTGTTTTTCATCTCTGCCTTCATCACTATCTCCTTTCTACTTCTCCTGTCCCCTGCACCCAGGCGCCTAATTATTGCTCCTCCTCATACTTGAAGCCCTGAGGGGGCACTCAAGTACTGAGCTGGGGCTTTAACAAAGCCCTGTACCCCTCCTCCAAGTCCCCAACAGAACCACCACCCTCGTTCTAGACGATTGCAGTTTCTGGCACATAGCAAGTGTTAAAAATAAAAATATCTAGTGGAAATGAGAACTTTTATGAGAAAAGATGCCAACTAGCGTGCTGTAGAGCCCATATGTAAATAGAGTTATTCCTATTATGTATTATACCTATCATAAGAACTGTTCTGCATCTGAGGCATTATATTTGCCAGTCAGAAGTTGAGTAGATTACCAACAGTATGACAAAATAAACAGGAACCTACTATGTGCCACCATGGAGTCATTTTAAAAGAATAAGTTACTGATTTTGGAAAATATTTTAAGAGGATGGCTGTGCTTTTGACTTGCATGAAACAATTGCAAATAATTAAGTTAATGATTCAGCATAAAAATGATGTTTATTTAATTTAACAGTAATCAACTGGCCCTAGTCTTTTCAGCAATCTAGTAACTCTAGCTTTTCTTTTCTGCCTGAGAGTTTACAGTAGAACAGGAATATCATATACTGGTTAAAGTTTTATGGTTCAAGTTCATTTTATGAAATAAAGAATTGGTCACATAGGCTGAGCTGTTTATGTTTAAAAAGATCGTTAGTATACAAGAGGTGGCTAAGTGGGTTTCATGTTGAAAGGGAAATTAGCTTTTCTTGGTTTTTAAAGTGTCTGGATGCCCTTCCATGAACAAGCGGCCTCTGGTGGCAACACTTACTCTAGTGTCAAGTTCCTTTCCATCCTGCATTGGAAAGAGGCCTTGAGTATTTTTAGTACAAATTCTTTGCTTTACAGATGAGGCAATTGGAATTGTTTTTTGTTGTCATCATTGTTTTGGGGTTTTTTTTGGTGAGGAAGATTGGCCCTGAGTGAACATCTGTTGCCAATATTCCTCTTTTTTTTCCCTTCCAAAAGCCCCAGTATACAGCTGTATCTCCTAGGTGTAGGTCATTCTAGTTCTTCTATGTGGGATGCTGCCACAGCATGGCTTGATAAACGGTGCATAGGTCCATGCCCAGGATCTGAACCAGCGAACCCCAGGCAACTGAAACAGAGCACGTGAACTAAGCAACTCGGCCAAGGGGCCAGCTCCTGGAAATGTTTTAAAATATTAAAAATATTCTTATAGCTGACTAGGGTATTTGAGAGGCAGATAAGCAAGCCTTTTTATAACAACGCATAAATTGTTGAGAATGGTGCATCAATTCTCTCTAGTATGTATGAGTCTAATAATTGGTTGTACATGAAGGATTACATTTATTTCCTTTGAATCAGAATAAATTGGACTCTGATTTCATTGTGTCTGATTCATTCACTGTGATTTCATAAAATGAGTTCACGTAATGGAGTGTAGTAAGTGGAGCATTCCTTAGTGCTTAACAAGGAGAAGAGAAGAATTTTAGGAAAAATATATCTTAGTTGCATGTATTAAATGCAGTGTATCTTTTCTATTTTAAGCTTTTTTCACTTTGATTTCTTTTTCATGTGAAGGGTTGAAGGATGCTTGCCTTACTGCCCCAAAAATATGATCTTTGATGAAGTCACCCTCAAATGTGTTTATCCAGGAGACTGTAAGTGTGAATCTTATTTAATTTATTCTGAAAAGAGGAACTCAAATATTTTTTTCTCTCTGACGACAAGTGGTTATAAATGGAAGTTGTAGACAGACAATAAACTTTCGTGAGATTCTTCTTTAACATCCTTTTCATAGTTTTTGGTTCCTAATTCCTTTCTAAACCATGTAAATCTTCCCTCTAACATTCCTCCTTCATTCTCTCTCCCAAAACATTTTCCTCGAAGCTGAAGATCCCTGTGTGAACTATGTGGGCCTCACTTTAAGCAAACAAATTAAGGGAGAGTATCTGTGTTTCTTTGTAGGCATACCTCTGATTCCTACAGAGCCAGCAGCAGTGCCACCAGGTAAGCCGTCTCTACCCATGTTTACAGGAATTGTTACAATTCTAGTCACTAAAATTAGCATTATGTAATTTAAGTCTTGGCACACTTGTAGCAGCTGCTGGTATTGGTAGCATCCCATCTACTAGGGAGCCCAGCAGTTGCTTTGGTTTCATAAGCAGCTCTTCACCAGCTCAGCAAGCTACAGTTTCTGAATGGCTTCTGCATTTGGTCCACCCCTTTATCCATTTTAATTGGTATAAATAATGACAACTCCTCTCACATTTTCTCCTAGAGTTTAGGCTTTACTGAATCTTGCTTAAATTTTCACAGTGATTAAGTTGACTTTAAAGAGTGTTAACACAAATGAAGTCATCCTCTGAGAGCTTCCCTCCTGCTTCCTGGGTTCTGCTCCAGCTTCTGTAGTAGGCATCTGGGCTCATGACCCCGCTTCCCTCCCTCACTGTGACACTTGCCTCAGGAAAGGATTTAATAAATCCACTCGCAGCAAGGCTTGGAAAACTTAATGTATGATTTCTCCAGAGATTATAATTTAGAAAAGTTCAGATTTTTATTCTTCAATTTATTTGACAAGTTTTAATTGTGTGTCAACTCTGCTATGCCCTGTCCTGCCATTAGGGAGAGGAAGGGAGAATGGTGAGCAAGTTATAGCCCCAACCCTAAAACAGCTGATAGTCCATAGGCTATTGTGATATTACAATAGGGACAAGCACAGGCAGTGAACAGGAAGGGCTTATGCTTATTTTGGAAGTGATCTCAGATGGGGAACAGAGGGTAGGAGTTGGGTAGCCTGGGAGACGGAGGAAGTGTTTTCCAGCCAGAAGAGGATGCAGGTGCAAAAGCCTGGAACTGAGAGAGAATGTGTCACACAGAAGGACTTCAAGCAGGTCAGTGCATCTCGGGCATGTAGTGTGAAGGGAATTGCACGAAGAGATGGAGTGGAAGAGATTATCAAAGGCCAGATCACAAAGGGTCCATGGTAAGAAACTTGGATTTTTATTCTGAAGGCAATGGTGAATCATTGAAGGATTTTAATGAGTCCTGAGACATCATCAAAATAAATAGCCTCGCTACAACCATCACTGTTACCACTACTCTTATTAGCTACCATTTGTGGAGTACTTACTATATGCCAGGCATTGGGCTAAGCACTCTACATACATTTTACCCTTATAAGAACTCTATGAGAGGGGTATTGTTGTTACCCTTGCAGAGATGAGGAATGACTCTACAGCTGTGAAATTTTAGGCATCAGTGAATTTAAAACAGTTTAAAGCATATTTTGGGAGTGGTTAGAGGTCCTTTCCCTGAATAACACTGCACACCCTAACACCTAGGGCATAGACTGTTAATTCTTCTAAGTGCTGCTGTCTACTTTTAATTCTCTGATATCCCCTCAAATCAATATTCAATATATATTTCAAACATCTGAAACTATTGAAACCACCACAGTCTAAATGTAAGGAATATGGATTATACTTCATGACCCTCGGGAATAAGAAAACTACCCTGAAAGTAAAGCAATTTTTATTTGTAGATGACGTGCTGTTGTCTATAGATCATTCTAAGGATGCCACTCAAACCTGTTAGCACTAATAAATAAGCAAATAATAAATCAGTAAAGTTGCACAATATAAGACCAATGTACAAAAATCAATCGTGTTTCTATTTTCTAACAATGAACAATCTAAAAATGAAATGAAGAAAGCAATTCCATTTACCGTAGCATCAAAAAAGAATAAAATCTTTGGGAGTATATTTAGCAAAAGAAGCATAGGGCTTATACAATGAAAACTACAAAATATGATTGAAAGAATTAAGAAGATCAAAATAAATGGAAAGACATCCCATGTTCATGGCAGAGTTAATATTGTTAAGGTGACAATACTCTCAAATTGATTTACAGATTTAATGCAATCCCTATCAAAATCCCAGTTACTTCCTGGCAGAAATTGACAAATTGACCCTAAATTCATATGGAAACGCGAGGAAGCTGGAATAGCCAAAACAATCTTGAAAAAGAAGAACAAAGTTGTAGGACTCACTCTTTCCAATTTCAAAACTTACTACAAAGTTATAGTTATAAAAACAGCTTGACTGTTACAATTCTACACCCACACAATGCTTATAACCTTTTGACAATTTTGAGAAAACAATGTATTCCTTTTCTGCTAAGACCACTTTATCGCCCAGTGGTCAGAATTTTCCATGACTCTGTGCTTGTTTTGGGCTAGAACTTTGTCTCCTTTTTCTTTGCTTAAACATTTATGATGATTGGAATGAAGATATTTAAGTCTGTAAAAATATCATATTCTCTAGAAGATGTAGTATCTAATATATCATGAACACTGCTCATAGGACCAAGGAATGGGCATTTTTGTTCTACTTTATTCTGTAAGTTAGAAACTATAAGATAAGTACAAAATGAAGGTTATTTATAGAATTTATTTAACTAAAAAAGTAAAAGTTTTCTCTTATGTCATTTCAGTAGGTTGAATAATGTCTCCCTCCAAAGATGTCCACATCTTAATCCCCAGAATTTGTGAATATGGGACCTTACGTGCTAAAGGGACTTTGCAGAAATGAGGATGATAAGGTGGAGAAATTGTCCTGGATTATCCATGTGGGCTCAGTGCAACAACAAGGGTCCTTATAAGAGAGAAGAGGGTCAGAGTCAGAGAAGGTGACATGCCCACAGAATAAACAGAGAGAGAGAAAGAGAGAGAGATTTGAAGATGTTATGCTGTGGCTTTGAAGACAGAGGAAGGACCATGGGCCAAAGTATTCGAGTTGGAAAAATCAAGGAAACAGATTCTCCTGTAGAGCATCCAGAAGGAAACAGCCCTGCTTGGTTTTAGGATTTCTGACTCCCCAAACCACAAGATAACAATTTAGTGATGGTTAAAGCCACTAAATTGTATTAATTTGTTACAGAAGCAACCAGAAACTAAGACAGTCATTCCTAAACAGTATCAGTGATGGATACTGCAATTACAGCTAGACAGAATTTCAGGCGTTCATTTTGCCTCTTCTTGAGTCCTTCAGACTTTGGATATTTTAGAGATACTTTTAGCACTAACAAAAAGCTGGAAGGTGCCTTACAAATGTATTTACCAGTTGAATTTTCCCTTTCCGTGGATCACTCCTTCACCACATCCACCAACTGGGGTCTCCACGTGGTCTGCAGCACCGTCTGGTCTGCTTCCAAGGAGCATATTCTAGAGATTCACCAAGGAAAATGAATCAGACTCACTACTTATTTAAAAAGTGCAACAAAATTTGTAAGTCCTGAGCAATCTTTAGTGATATCATTTGTCATAACAATTGTCAAAACAATTGTGTTGACACCATCAAGATAATGAAGATGTTTATAGAATTGTGATTAAAAGCCAGTGCTCTGGAATCAGAATTCTTGAATTCAAATTCTGCCTCCGATGCTTACCAGCTTACCTCTCTACACCTTAGTCTGCTTATCTGTAAAATGACAATAGTATATTATCTACTTCACAGGGGTTTCGTGAGGATTAAGTGAAATAATCCATATAAAATTTCTTAGCATGGTTCCTACCACATGTGAATTCCATACATGACAGATACCATTCCGCTAATGGAAAGGACGTCTTCGTTTCTAACAGGTCCAGAAGTGACCACCCCATCAGATTTCACGGTGCTTGACATGCTCACACCGACAACAGGTTTGGAATGTGAGGTATGACTGGGTCATCTCTTCAGCTTTTGTCATTTCCTTATAGTGTCTGTTTAAGTTTCCGTGTCACTATCCAAATGCTATTAAACTTATTTTTGTATGCTTTCTAGTCCTTCTTTGCCAAAAGATATTAAGAAATAAGCATGACCTTTTAACAGTTGTATTTTCTTAACTGATTCAGATATTTCCTATTAATTAGATTCTGGTCACACTAAGAAAAACAAATACAAATGAAGTCTTAAGTGTGATTCTTTAATAATAATAAAATATGATAATAATGAAGCATAATTCAATTTATTAATTTGATTATTAATTTAATAATAATAATTGTGTCATTCTTTAGTAATAATTATTTATAATAAAAAATTATCCAACCTGTGATTCTCTATAAGTCAAGCATTCAAAAATATTTATTAAGCAGCTACTATATGCTAGGCACTCTGAGGATGACAAAGATACATTGGTAAGTGAAAAAGGTAAGGTCTTTGAACCCCTGAGTTAGTAATTTTCTTGGCTGAGACTTGAGCAGATATCTCTTTACTCCAAATTTGCCATTTGTTCTGAGAAACTGATTATTTATTTAGTCAATATTTATTTAGTACCATTTCTGGCTGGAAACTATTCAGATACCATGGATAAAATAATATAAAAGCAGGCAAAAATTCCTGCCTTTATGGAGTTTATTTTCCAGTGAAGGTTGTATGACAGCCAATAAGCAAAATAAATTACTAAGTTATATAAAATGCTAGAGTTTGATGCTCAGAAGAAAAATAAAACTATTTTCAAGGAGATGATTAGAAAATCCTCACTCATAAATTGACTTTAGAGCAAAAGATCTGAAGGCATTGAGAGAGAGTGATGCAGAGAACCAGGGCAACAGGGTTTCATGCAGAGGGAGCAGCAAGTGCAAAGGCCCTGAGGTGAGAAGGTCCTTAACATCTTAAAAGAATAATAAGGAGGCCATTGAGTAAGGAAGGAATAAAACTGTGGGAAATAGATCATGTAAGGCCTTGTGGATGATTGTAAAGGCTGTGGATTTTATTCTAAATGACACAGGTACAAAAGGGATATTTTTGAGCAGAAGAATTATGTGGTCTGATTTGTTTCAGGATCATTTTAGCTGCTGTGTTGAGAGTAGGTGTAAAGAGACAATAGAACTAGTTAGGAGGCTATTGTAGGAATTTAGGCGAGAGGAGGGTGGCCTGGACCAGGTGATAGCAGTGGAGATGGTGAGAAATGCCTGAATTCTGGATATATTTCGAAGGTAGAGGTCGTAGAATTTGCTGAAGGATTAGATTGGAGTGTGAGTGAAAGAGAGCCATCAAGGATTCTAAGACTTTGTCTTGAGTGACTGAAGGATAAAGTTGGCATTAAGCAGGATGGGAAATTGTGGGAAGTGAGGGTCTGGGGTGGGTATAACCAAGAGTTCGGTTTTGCCCTGTAAAGATTGTGATTCCTCTTAGACATCAAAAAGCTGTGGATATACAGATCTGGTGGACATAAATAGAGTTTAGGGAAAAGGCCAAGCTAAGAGGAAGTTTTGGGAATTCTCAGTGCATAAGTGGTATTTAGTGTGATGAGGCTGGATGAGATCGCACAAGGAGTGCAGACGGAAAAGAGAGGAGGCCACTACAACTGTAATAGACTGAGAAACAGAGACGAACTTGCAGAGGATGTTAATCAGTGAAATAGGAGAAAACAGGAGATCGCGAGTCATCTGGAAGGCAAGGAAAGAAAAGACTTTAAGGAAGATGGAGTAATACGCTGTAGTGAGTATATTAGTAGGTCAGGTAAGGGGAGGTCTTGTACTTGATCACTGGATTTAGTGATGTAGTGTTCGTCGGTGACCTTGTTGAAGATCATTTCAGTAGGGTGGAAGGTATAGATTCTTTTAGGTGGTTTAGATGTTGTTATAGGGGCTCTAGTTTTCTTCAGTTATTTTCATTTTTCTGGTTAAACGGAAAGCAACATTGATACCTGACAGTTGATGCAACTTTTACACTGAAACTTTTGGAAAACTGACCTTGATTATTTGCCTATCTTTGGCTCTTAAATTCCCAAGTGCTCGCTTAATAGTCTCACCATTTAGAAAATTATTTAACCTTCCTTCACTTTGTTTTTTTTTAAATCACATCTAGCATTGAGATGATAGAAACTGAGCCCCAAAATTTAAGGAGAAGTAAACGAAATAAGCTACTTCATCAGTGCATGGCATATAATAGCTGCTAAATTGATGTTAATTTTTCTGCCTCCATCCCTTGAGGTGCAGCATAGTTCAGGGGTAGAGAGCACAGAATCCAACAACCTAGGTGTCCATCGACAGATGAATGGATAAAGACATATATGTATATACACACACAATGGATAATTATTTGGCCATAAAAAATGAGTAAATCTTGCCATTTGCAATAACATGGATGAAACTTGAGGACATTATACTAAATGAAATGTCAGACAGAGAAAGATAAGTACTGCATAATCTCACTTTTATGTAGAACCTAAAAAACAAACCATAAAACAACCAAACACATAGAAAAAGAGATAAAATTTGTGGTTACCAGAGGTGGGTGGTAGGGGGAGATGAAAGTGAAGGGAGGTAGCCAAAAGGTACAAACTTCCAGTTACAAGATAAAGAAATACTAGGGAGGTAATGTGCAGCAGGGCTATAGTTAACACAGCTGTGGGATATATAGGAAAGTTGTTAGGAGAAGAGGTCCTAAGAGTTCTCCCCACAAGGAAAAACCTTTTTATTTCTTTTTTTTCTTTTTCTTTTTATTGTATCTATATCAGATAGATGCTAACTAAACTTATTGCAGTAATAGTTTTTTTTATGTAAGTCAAACCATTATGCTGTATACCTTAAACTTATACAGTAATCTATGTCAATTATATCTTAACAAAACTGGAAAAAATAAAATTGAAATTAAAAAGACAAAAAGATCACAGATTCCAGAGTAGCAATGTCTGAGCTTAAATTTGACTCTGCTGCCTGCTAGCTATGGGACTGGGGGCACGTTGCTTTGACCTTCATCCTGATTTCCTCCTCTGTGAAATAGGAGAAAATAGTAGTACCCACCGTGGAGGGTTGTTGTGGGAATGAAATGGGTTAATTAGAACAATGTCTAGAACATAATAAGTTGTATAAATGTTTATCATTGCTATACTTATTACCATAATTTAAATAGAATGCAATTTAGAAACTGTGAAAAACCTACCACTTATTTATTTTGTTTATCTAGATGTATGTGAGTTATATATAAAAATCAATTTATAATGACTCTATACAGGTGCTGTCAAAGTGTTCTCACATATGAATTTCTAATGAAATATTCGAATTGTATTAAGTTGCAATTTTTCTAACTGACATTAACAGAAGTTAAAATCATATACTAGCTTTGAACAACATAATATGAAAGGTTGACTGCAACAGTATAAGTCTGCTTCCAAAACACTGATCTAGACAATTTAGGGCAAGATTTCAGTTTGCTCAGATGTCTGAGCATATGGGCAATTCTGAAATCTGATCAATATTACAGTAAAGCTTCAATGGAGTCCATACCGAGTATTTTAGAGAGGTTACATCAAAGAAAGTTGTAGTGAAATTTTAATTGTTTATTTTTCAAAAGCTTTCATATTTAGAAAATGTGCATTATAGGCAATGTGAATGGGAAATTAAAAAATAATTGAAAGCATTAGTTCAAAATGGAAAAAACCCACTAATTTTCTTTTTTTATTAACAGCCTCAACAATTTGATCCTGTTTATAATTGTAGCCAATATATATGCCTTAATATGGAATGGAAGCTGTTCAACTGGTCTCTCAATTGCCCGAAGGACTTGGTGATGCCTGACTGTGGTTTCCGGGGAAGACCCGTTCAGGTGAACAGGGATATCTGCTGCCCTGAGTGGGAATGTCCTTGTAAGTGTGTATTTCTTACACGGCAATCAATTTCCAAACAGAGGGAGGTGCTTGTTTTTTTGAACCGATCACCTCATCAAGCCAAAGTTGATGTTGAGCTTTCTTCGTTTGATTTATGATTTTCATTCCCAGTATGTAACTTTTAGAGTTGCTTCTTGTCAAACATAATAACACTAATTTAAAAGATTTTTTTAGCGGTGTAATTATTACTGCAAATACAAATAATTAGTTAATAGACTAAATCCACTCTTGACCATTTTTTTTAGGTCGGTGTTCCATGTTGTCAGAGCTGAGCATTATCACATTTGATGGCAACAATGCTGCTTTATATAGTATGGCTTCTTATATCTTAGTCAGAATTCCTGGGGAAATTGTAATTGCTCATATTGAAAAATGTGCCATGAATCAGGTAGGTCATAATCCACTCTTTTGTCATTTCTTCATATTCTATAGCTGAGACACCTTACAACGTTAGATATTCTCAGAGCAAGAAGGGGCTCAAGAGCTCGCTGAGATTTATCTTTCAGTACTTAAAACAAAAATGTTTCATGCGAATGTATTAGAAGTATGTAATATTTATCCAAATACTGTTTTTAAAAGTCGAGTAATACATTTCTTTCAAAAGTGTCTTTCTGTTTACTTTTTTTTCAGAATGGAAACTCATTTAAAAAGCTAGTGAGTATTTGCAAAGTGTTTAGTAAATTCCTTCTGTTTATTGCTAAAATTATGTTTAACTCCATAAAGTTTTAACTTTTTTTTCAAATTAAGGCTTCCTCTGGAAGAATGTCTGGACTTTGTTTTAAGAAGTTAAATTTGACAACATCTGTACATAAAGTACTTGTCAATCGGGCAGCAAGAAAGGTAGGAATATAAAGTTAAGAATATCCTCACATTAGAAGAAATTAAGAAATTATAGAAGTACAATTATGTCCAAAAAGAGAGAAAATTAAACAGTATTAGTGGAGTTTCATTGCTATTGTGACTCATCCTTCTTTTCACAGACAGTCTAAAAATGCGTGTCGTGATATTATATTCCTGCTTCCATAATGTGCCAACTGTTGCAAATATTTCTCCCCTTGTGAGGTTAACTGTAACGGCCATGTTAAATATGTTAAAACCCTCTCAGATAACCTGAGCGGCCAGGCTTATTAGTGTCACGGTTAACGTTAGTGTTTCGAATTAGACAAAGTGGAAAGGATGTGAAAAAGAGGGTTCATAAGGTTGAAAAGTGTAGTTGCCAAGAATACCAGAAAGGAGACCAATGAGAGAAGAACAGATGGAAGGAGCAGTTTTGAAATATCGATGTCATAGATTTTTCAGTGAATAAGTGATAGCTAAAATAGGAAAAAAATGAAGGAATATTTAACTTTATTGAAATAAACTGAAGAAGAGCAGTGCATTACAAAAAAAGTTGGAAAGGAGTCATTTGGGTTTACAAGTAAAACCTTTAACCCAAGGAATGTATGTTTACCAGATAAGAGTAAGTTTTAATCTGGATGCTTCACTCGGATATAAATGGTTCTCTCAAAAATGTAAGAAAATAATGTGCAAAGATTTTGTTCAAAATGGCTGAGATATTCTATGCTTTCTGGAGATAATTCTATCTGTTAGCACAGATAGATTCTAGACTGGAAACAATATTAAAATGAGCCTAAAATATAGTAAGGTGTTGGAAAGTTTAATTTTAAGTAAAACATGAAATATGTGAATGATATACTTTTTTGGATGATAGTATTTGTTTAAACTTTTGATTTTGGTGAGGTTGATATATTAACAGGAAGTGGATGGGAAATAAATTTAAACTCAAACCTGGTCAATGCTATTATTATGAGCATTTGGGCAAAAGGGCTTATTTTTGGCCTCAACTAAACTCATCACTGGTCATGTATTCAGTTAAAAGCTTATTAATTTAGAAAATCATTTTGTGAGAGTTTGCATGATAAGATGACACAGGTCCTGACCTCAAGTAACCTGTAGTTGCGTGTGGGGAGCATAAATGCCATTATCTGCCAATTAAAAGGCAATAGGAGGTGACAGAGTTATGACCAAGATATCACGGAAACAGAGATAAGTGTCATTTAATGCAGTTTTTAGGAGGGTCAAATAGGTATTTTTGGAGGAGGTGACACCTAACATAAATCTTAAAGAATGAGTAGAAATTAACCAGGCTAAGAGGAAGGAGGTTTCAGCCCGAGGGCAGAACCATGAGAAAGATATAAAGATGAGAAATTGGATGGTTGGTCGGGTATAACTTTGAGAAATTTACTGCTAGTTACAGCTCATGGTTGCATGTCATTGTCATTATTTAAAGCACTGTTTTTCAAAGTATAAGCCTTGGACTGCCTCCATTAGTTTTGCCAAGAGTACGTGCTAAAATTATAGAGTCTAGAATGCAATCCAAACCTAGGAGGTAGTATTGCTGGGAATCTTAATCTTTCCCAAGCTTGACAGAGGATGGTTATGGATGTTACAGTTAAACAAACACTGATTTAGAAGATCAAAGAAAGAATCTAGATTAAAGAAAACATCCTGAAAATGCCTCTATTATCTTAAATTCATTGTAGGAGATAATGGTATAATCAACATGTATTGGGGAAACAGACAGAAAAGCATACATAACATAGAAGAAAGTAAAGTTTTAAAGAAAATAAAGGACAATTTAGAACAAATACTGAATATAACAAATTCAGTAAATAAATACTGAATACGTAAATGCTGAATATAACAAATACTGAATATAGCAAGACACAGCAAAGGAACAATAAAAGAGTTAGAAGTTATGAGAGGCTGCAGCAGCCACAGAGAATAAACTTTTAAAAATTAAAAAAACTAGTCTATATTAAATCAGAAGAAATGGAGTAAACCAAATTCACCTAATTTTAAGGAGTGTGTATTTAAGCATAAATGTTTTTCTAGCTGATGTAAGTGCGCTATGTCATTTTAGGTGGAAGTGGATTCTGTCGTCGTGCCTCTGCCCTTTTCAAAGCAAGAGCTGTCCATAGAGGATTCTGGCTCCATGTATGTGATTACTACTCCAGCCGGACTGATCATCAAGTGGGCTCATCTCACAGGCATTGCAGACATTCATTTTGGCTTTCGATTTAACTTGTCATCCTACACAGAAGGACTTTGTGGTGAGCACAGCTCTTCAAATCTCGATTTCTTCTAACTTCATTTTTCCTGTTCACATTACACCATTTTAGCCCATCTTGCCCTAGTTTTTGGATTTGGGAAGTGATGTTAACTTTCAGTTCCCCATGTGAATACCAAAGGAAGCGATGGCTTTCAATCAATGGGCTAAAAAACAAGAAATAACAGTTGAGTTTGGGTATTTTATGGAAATAAATATATGCTTACCACGATTTCTATAGTACTGTTTGTATTCCCACCAGCTCATCTTCATTAAGCATTAATGAAATATCAGGTATTATTTTGCATACTTTTAACTCATCTAATTCTAAGAATAGCCTTAATAAGTAGGCACTAGTATTAATTTATAAGTGATAAAAATGAGGCATAGAAAGATTAAAAAGACAAATAACTTTGTTTCTTCCTTATATTTTTTTTGAAGTTTGAAATCAAGGAAAACCTGATTTCAAGTTCAGTCATCTTGAAAGTTATGTACAAGGAACGCAATGTTCTGAATATTGGTCTCAGTTTTGTTCTTAAGTGTAAAACTCCCATGTGCCTTTATGCTTAGGTTTAATACCACACTGTGTTACATGGATGCATAGTTATGAGCCAATGGAAAGGAATTAATAATCTGTCTATGTATATAAAGAAATAAAAGGATGCTACTGGCTCTGCCGTCTGCTGGAACGTTGAGCAGAGCTATCCCCTTTCTGGCTCTGTGCTCTGAAGTGCGCATCAGTTTCCTCATCTTTCAAACGGGAATAGTAATATCTACCTTCAAGACTGTTCTTAGAATTGAATGTGAAAGTTAATGTAAAACACTTAACATGTTGCTTAATACACACAGTCGATAAATGTTAGCTTAGTACAAAGATACCTATTTTCACCTCACTAAATATTAATTGAGCAAAAGTTTGTGGACACCTTCTGAGTGTCCTTGGCCTCAACAAATTATGTGAAATACCCAAACTTCTTGTTTAAAAATGTAACCCATTTAGTGGAAAGTTTGGCTAAAATGATTTACATATTTCCTTGCCTGTTTGAAGTATGCTAAACATAGCACAACCTTCTATGGTGACTTAAGGTTATCATTGTGGAAATAGTTATTATTGTATACACACTATCAAGTATACATCATAACTCAATAGTTGCTATTGAGTAAGAAACAAGAGACTTTGGGAATGCATATTTTCTCCTCTGAGTTATCACTTCTGTATGCCATGATTTCTGTTTGATTTTCGTGCTTTTTTTCCTTTCTCCTCCTTTACTGCCAGCTCATGCTTTTATGGAGACAGACACTCTGCTAACTGAATTCTTAAGTAATCGCTGGAGAGAAGGGGCCAGGGTCACCTTTCTGCTAACCGAAAGTTATCCCCAAACTTCATGACCAGTAGGAGAGGGGAGGTTTGTTGAAGGGAAATCTGGGTGCTGTTGGGACTACTAGCCTGGGTGCTGACCAATAAAGTTGTAGTATGACCCGAACTGAGCATGGATATCAGAATGGGAGGTCAATATTGATACCTCGTTCTAGATAACACAGTCAAGTCTGCAGGGGTGGTGGCTGGAGTTGCAATGGAAACATATTTTGCTAGCAATTAACCTTTCTCCAGAAGAGTTTAGACTTTAAAAAATAGTAGCTGCTTTACAGTATAGCTCACTTAACTTGAGTTTTGTTTTTGTTTTTGTTCTTTTGCACGGCACTCAGTCCCCTGAATGTACAAGGGTGGGGCAACTAAGGCAGCATCAGCCTTTATTGATCTTGACATAACTACTTGAGGATTAAGATGTGATATTTTCAAAAAGTTTTTAACTCATATCTTTTACAGCTGTGGACCTTGGGAATTAAAAAATACGATGTCTTAAAGTAGGGTGGGATTTAGGTAAGGTATGATCAGGGTGCTAGGTCCATTTGTCTGTACTTCCCTTGGCTCTGCAGTCCACTAGAAGTGTAAGCTCCATCCTCAGTCCAGCCTTCCTCAAGGAAACTAGAGGCTGTAGCAAATCAAAGCATCATAAGCCATCAAGAGGTTATGTCATCCCAAAGAAGGGAGGTTGTCTATGTGCTAGATTTCCTAGGTCAGATTATGAGTTTGGCAATGGTTGTCCTACTGTTGAGTGAATCTATGTGTCTAGGTGACTGCCATGAGCTGACTGGTTTATGCCTGGATTACCTGTAACAATTGTTAATGCAAAGGAGTAAAGATTACCTTTTATGCCAATCAGGGCCCTCTCCTGGAGTGGTGTCATGCTCTAGGTGACAGAGCAGGGACAGTTTCCAAAAAGAGAAATGTAACATTTTCAGGCAAGGTTTTCCTGAGGGAATGGGTGCTTGGGAGGCGATCACCAAATGTCCACTATTCTGGGGAGTATTTTGGCGAGCTTAAAAACTAGGTCTTAAATTAGAAATTAGAGGTAAGTGTGGAAGAATGTAGGAGCAGAATCAATCTTCTCTTTCTTCATCTTCTATGATCTTTTCACATATTTTGACTTCTAGGATCGTGGTTTCTTTCTTATCTGGTTAAGACAGTTCCATGCTATTTTATCAAAGAATCAGATACATAGTTTTAAAAATTCATCAATGTTAAAGTCAAGGGGCATAAATTTAGCATCTCATTCAGTAAATAATTCATTCATTTTAAGTCAATTATTAAGATGATTTATTGCTGCTGCCTACATTCGGTTTAAGTGAAATATTTTTCCCTCTAAATGTCATATATCTTTCCAGGAACTTGCAATGAAGATCCAGATGATGACCTCAGGATGCAAAATGGCACAATTATTACGAATATGGAAGACATAGAATTATTTATTGAGAGCTGGGAAATTGAGAAATCATTTGAAGTAACAACGAGAAGACCTGTTAGGAATTGTACTGAGCACAATTGCAGCCACTGCATTGAGTTATTAAATAGAAAAGGTTTCATTCCATGCCACGATAAAGTAAGTCGAAAGCAGCCATAAATAAGAACCATCATGTTAGACATGTTGACAGTAAAAGCCAATAAATTCCTGTTCTCGCCGTGATGTTCTTCTACTGAGAATGGTTATCCTCAACAGTCTGTCAGTGTGCTTTGGAATTCAGAATCAGTTACTGTCTATAGACTTACAGCGACAGGAGGGTTAATTATTTTTTTCTCCGCTGTTTTTTCAGAAGTATATCTACAGCTTTCAAGAAAAATGAAATTCATCCTATGAATAAATGCTTCTTGGAGAGAGAGATCGGTGTCGCTTGATAACCCAGTATAGAAACCATGACAGTGACGGTTTAATCAGTTCTCTGTGAGCCTGGCCTCTTAAGTGGATACTTGTATAGAACCTGTCACATATTCAATTTAATCGTTCTTCATTACTCTCTAACTTTAGGTGACTAGTAGATATTTTAAGTAATCTAGGTTATTAAAAAGTGATCTCTTATCAGGGACAAAGGACAGACAAATACAGCATTTCATGAATCATTTGATGCAAAGTTAATGAGCATCTGGCACCATCTAGGCACTGTTCCACTCCTGTGATAAAAAGATAAATAAGACCCTCCTCTTGCCCTACAGAGTCTAGTGGGAAGGGAAGATGTGAAAAAACACATCACAATATACAATATGGAGGGGCATAGGAGCCCATGTTTGGAGAAGACTTCCCAGAGTTTTAGGCATTTGAATTACTTAGAAGGATGAGTTTGCCAGAGAGAAGAGGGAGGAAGGGAGACCTAGGCAGAGAAAATCACATGTGCAAGAGCAAGTTTGCTGTAAAAGGCCGTGTGAGGAAAACACCGAAAGAGTTTAGTGCAGGATATACAGAGGGCAAGAGTCTGGGCAGGAGAGGGAGGGAATTGTTGCAGCAGGAAGGGGTCCCGGTGAAGGATGTTCCGTGTAGACTCCATAGTTCTCAGCCTGCCCTGCGGTTCCCTGGCGGAAAAGGCAAAGGGTGCCTTTCATCATGGGCTGAAAATGGTGGATCTTTCTGGAGTTTCAGTTTTACTTGGAGATTTGGAAGCAAATCTGCTCTAAATGTTTACATTTTTAAATGCATGTATGTAAAAATGGGAAAAAAAGCAAATACTTTAAAACTCATTTCAGTGTCATTTTAAACTGTCTTTTTAAAGCATAATGATTTTTGAAAACTGCATTTTTAACTGGCAACTTGGAAGGGTTGATTAAATCAGGAGTTTTCAGTTTGACTATTCAAAGCATGTGAGGCAACACAAGATACCATCTAATCCGCGACAGCCCCAGCTTTTCCCTTAGGATCTTCCCAGTGAATTTGATGGTAAAAGAAAGGAACGCTCCAGCCCAGATATACATGAGGAATTGGCCACCAGCACATGTGGCCAATCTAACAAATACAGTAGATACCTTAATGCTTACTTAAAATATGGGTAGTATTTATTCTGAAAATGCAAATGAGCCCCAAATTGTGTTGTGTCTTATGTTGGAAAATTCAAATCAACAACTACATAAAACTACTCCTAGGAGAACATCAAAAACCAATCATGCAGAGTTTGAGGACAATTGCCAGAATTTTGTGTTTGTTTTATTTTTGTAGATAGTAAGTAGTCTTGGCTCAGAAGCTTACTTCAGGATTAGTTTTAGAAACATTTGGAGGGTCAGGCTTGTTTTCCATCAAGATTTTCATCAAATCCCTCACTCTCTTTACCAGGAACGTCTTGCTTCTGTATTTTCTTAGGGAGTTTATTGCTGTGATAAAAATGTTATAATTTTTCAAAATGTTCAGTTCAAATATCTCTTTTGACAAACGTGTAATCAAATAGAAAGTTGATTTGACCGCTTGGTCGGCTACATAGATATAAACCAATTTAATTGGGGAAGGCACTGGCTATAAGCTTTTTACAGTCAGAGTTGAAAGTATAATTTTTCCTCACAGAAAGTGAAGATAAAAAGTAAAACCTAAATAATGCAAATGAATTATTTTAGCCTTAATGGTAAAGTATTAACTCACAAAGTTGGGTTATTTAGCAGGTATTTTTCTTCAAGACTGAGTATTTAAAAATACTACAGTGGAAATTAAGTTTGAGAATAAGATAAGAATAACTGAATGTGAGAACTCCTAGTATTCAGACTCCTAATTGCCCAAAGTGTTTAGATCAGGGTTTCCTTGAGATAGTAAGAGAAACCCTTTCAAAGCTTGTAAGGATTGTACTTACAGTATCCTGAAGACACATCATCAGACAACTTCTTTAGCTGCCTTCTCGTCATCACAATTCAGTGATCACTCTGGCAGAGTAGAAGAAGTGTCTTTTTTTAATCCGCATGTTTCTAAGCATATAAGTTCTTGGATATTGCAAAACTAAGGCTGAGAAGGCATAGTATTCTCTTGATGCTGGACTTGTTAGTTGGTGTCAGATCTCTTCCATTTACCTCAAATTGGATACTGAGAGATCGAATGCAATAGCATTGCCCATTAGTCAGTGAGATAGGTAGAACGTATTTCTTTTTCTCTCAAAGCCTCAAATCTTAAGACAGTACTATATTTAAAAGATTCAGACTATTAGGGACCAGAATGTAAAACTTGCATGGCTTCAAAAAATACTTCAAAGAAAAGTCTAGTTTATGGTGACTTCTTTGGGCTGAACTCTAATCAACCTAGGGACAAATTTTCTCTTCTACCTTCTGCTTTTAAGATGAAAGTCCTACTGTAAGGGAAAAAAAACTAAAAGACGGGAAGGACATGACAGTTTACTTGATAGATCTGTATAAAGGCCTGAAGAAGATGGACGAGGCAGGTTGTCAGGGGGGCTAAGTAGAAGGCTGTTGGGTAGTTTTTTATTTGTTTATTTAATCTTTTATTTTGGTGAGGTTTACATTCACAAACATGATGGGGCTACTATAAGGATTCCTATGTCTCCACTATAATCAGTAGACTCTCTGTTTTCATCTATCTTCCCTATTCCCTCTGCTTAGGCCCTGCCTCTGCTGAATTATTTTAAAGCAAATCTGCTTTGGATTGGTCAAGAGGAGAGTGGGAGAGATAGCTGTGTGTCTAGAAAGGAGAGACAGCATTAGGGAGACATTTGGGACTTAGAAGGGGCAGGTTAAGGACTGATCAGATGTGAGCGTTAAGGGAGAGTGAACGATTGTGGAAGACTTCAAGTTTCTGGCTTAAACTGGATACATATCAAGATCAAGAAATCCTTGATACCTTTTTAATTCTCCATCTGTCCCTTCCAAGCTATCACCAAGTCAGTTGATTCTACTTCTGAAATATATTCCATATCTGTACACTTCTTTGCATCACCACTGCCAACATCTTAATCCAAACAACAGTCACCTCTTACCTGGTCTAATGACTTCACCTCACAATTGGTTTCCGGCTTCTCATTTTCATCCTCATTTACAAATCTCCAAAGAGCAGGCAGTTGATATTTTAAAGATGGAAATAGGATTGTATCATTTCTCTACCTAAAACCCTTCAGTGTCTTGCACTTATACTTGGCATACATTCCAAGCTTCTTATCAGGGTCTACAAGGTCCTCTGTGCTCTGTCCCGCCTGCTTCTCCAGCTTCCTCCTTGTGCTACACTCTTCTTGCTTCTAAGCTCCAGGCATTCCAGCCTCCCTTCAACTCTTTGAACGTTTCAAAGTTTTTGCTATCAATGGACTTTTATGCTTGCTGGAATACTTCCCTCCTCCAATTCATGTTACCATGGCAGCTCCTCTTGATCCTACTCAAAGTCTTTTAAAACTGTGAGATCCATAAGGCAGAGAACAGATATGTTTTATTCATCTTTGTACTCCTCATGTATAGCATGTTGCCTGATATGTAGTTAGGTGCTCAATAAATTATGAAAGTGTGTATAAAAGAATGGATGAATGGAGGATACAGGGGAATCAGCTTTTGTGTGTTACGTGGAGAAGGTATACAATTTTTTGTTTGTTTGTTTTGGACAAGTTATGTCTTGTGGGACTTCAAAATTAAAATGTCCAGAAAAAACTTAGAAACATAATTCTGGACCTCAGAGGAGGTAAGTTGAGGCCAGAGATCAAGTCAGGGGAATCATTAGTATACAACAGATGATGTGCCAGAGTCTGTTCTGTACACTTTCCATATATAAGCTCACAGCAGTCTTAAGTAGTAGTAAGTTTATTATTAACTCTATTCAACTTATGAAGAAAACAAGGTGAAGATTTAAATGCCCAAGATAGTGGTGTAAACTATGGGAAGGGGTGAGCCCAGGAAGAGCATTTGCAGTGAGTAGACATAACCATTGAAAATGGTTTCTCAACAGAGAATCACTCAAAATGAGAGGCAGGAAGAGGAGACAACACTGTACCGGTGGAAAGGCAGTAGAGTATGGTGCCCTCAAAGTCAAAGGAGAGGGTTTTAAGAAACAGGGAGCGTTCATGGCATCATAGGCCTCTGAGAGGTTGAGAGGGTTTAGAATATCAGTGTTCCCTGGATTTGACAAACAGGAAGTTCTTGATGACCATAGCAAGTGTTCCCTGTAAAGTGAAGTGCTTGGAAACTAAGGAGATTCAACCAAGGAGACTTCGACCTGTGTCAGAATTTAGCATTCAAATGTAAATGCTTAGTATGTTTGCTGAATGCATGAGTGAAGAGAAAAATTGGAATCAATGTTAATTGATTTGTAACAAGTTATTTGTAACAATTATTTAAATTTCAGGCATTTCTAGATCAAAATGAAACATAATCTGTAGAAAAAGGAGTGAGCCTCTAATTAAATTGAGATGTGCCAAATTATATAAATTATTTGATCAACATTCAATATTAATACACATGTTTTTGAGACGCAAAGATAACCTCATTTAATAGACAATGCCATGTATTATTTCGGAATGCTTCAGGAGCTTCTAACTTTATCAAAGATCTATTATATAAAAAATCTATTATATAAAAGATCACATGCTCTGTTTCTTTTCCATCTTTATAAGATAGATTTATGCAGATTAACACAGACAATATTTATCTTATCTAAAATTTGTTTAAAAATATTTCAGATTCAGAGGTGACATCCAATATTGTGAAGTTTTGAAAATAGTTTTAGTCTAGCTTAGGGTCTTTGGAGGAAGAAAACAATATAACTTATCCCACGGCAAAATGTATCTCTAGGTTTCACCACAGGACTTCTGTGAAAAGATGTGGATCAATTATACCTATTTTTGGAACTATGAGTGTGACGCGCTTTCTGCGTATGCAGCTCTGTGCAGCAAGTTTGACATCTGCCTTCAGTGGAGAACACCTGATTACTGCCGTGAGTACTACACTTCAAATGATGTTTTCCAACTATCGAATGATATTCTGTTTTTTGCATTCCCTCCTTTCCTTTTTCTTTTCACTTTTCGTCACAAAATAATTTCATAAGAATAACATGCATGTAAATATAACTGAGAAGTTAGAGGTCAGCTCTCCCACATGGGCAACTTCTGTTTTCATCCTGTTCTAAACGTAAAGAGGCCTCAATTCTCCCCAAAGAAAACCTAGTCCACAAAATATTAGTTAGGAAGGTAGATTGAAATATTGAAGAAATCACAGAGGATTGAAGAGAGATTTTAATTCTGTATCTTCCAACACGTTTTGTCTGTCTCTATTCAACCTGCCTCTTTTTCTCAGTTTGTCCTGATCCATTTAGTAAGTGGAGATGGAGATTTTTCTACCTGCTTTTCCTCCTTTCCAGACATAGTATCCACATCCTAGAAACCGGTTTTTCTGGCTTTCTTTGATTGGTTTCCAGCTTCAATATTTTTCCAAAGGCATGTCTCTTTTTCCTTTTTCTATTGTATGTGTTCTTTGCCCATTTTTATTTTTCAGGCTCACACTTTCTCATCAAGTTGTAATGCTTCCATACAAATTTTATGAAACCTGTCACCAATCCTGGGCACATTTTACAGAAAATATTGTTAATTTAAGTTAAGAATTATTAAGTGGATTAAATGGTCAAAGATTTACAAATGAATGTTAGTAAAATGCCCCAAGATAAAATAAAAGTTTTCATTTTCCCCAGAAAACAAATGCATAAAGAATAACATATCACAAACCTCAGTTCCATGAGTGCACTTCAGAAGCAAAGCAGCTCCTGGTGTGTCCCCTGCAGCCTTGCCTCTGCTCCTCCTGCAGAGGTAACCACTGTCCAAGAGTGGGGTCTCTCGACTCAGAGAGAGTGTATGACAGGTTCGATTTCACGAGACAGTCACATTGTTCTCCACTGAGATTTTACCAGTTTACACCCCCACCAGCTGTGTGTTCATTTTTTAACTGCATAGCTTTCTAAGATTACTGGAAATCCACAAGAATTATCTAAAACAGCATTGAGAAACTGCTCAGCAATGGTAGTTTCTTTCGACAGTGAAGGATTAAACCTAAAAATGTGACATTTTTCTTTTTTATAACTGGTTGATTTACATATTTCAAGAGTGTTTCTGTGCTTATTCTGAGTAGACTGTCATATCCCTTCTCTCTGCACAGAACAGTAACTTCTTCATAGTTGTCTCTATATTTGTGTCAACCAGATGGGGCTGCAGATTGGTCGTATTTATTTGATATAAATCAGGTGAACTTTTTCTACTATAACATAACATAATACTATACTAGCTGGATGCCTGGAAGATGCTCAAAAATACCCATTGATAGTTTTATTTCTAATTTATGGTTACATAATAAATGAAAAATGGAACTTTGAAGGGACTAAAATGTGCAAAATTCATTTTCAGAAAAAAACCTGGCATTTCTTCCTTTCACTAGAATTCAAATGGGTTACTTTTATCATCAGCAAATTCTGCCCTGTATTATTCACAGCTCTGAGTTGCCCAGAAGGGAAGGACTATCAACCCTGTGTGCAAACTTGTGAAGCAAGAACATGTCTGAACAGATGGTTCTATGGACACTCTTCATGTATGAATTTAAGAGAAGACTGTGTGTGCAAAAACGGAACCATCCTTCACAGGCCAGATTCAACTCAGTGCATTCCAGAGAAAGAATGTGGTGAGCAACGAAGTACAAAATGACTTCTGAGGGATGCAGCAAACAACGCATTTTTAGGTCTTGGAGAGATGTGCTGAGAAAGATTGATCAAAGCTCACCCAGGTGTTGGAAAGGAAACGAGCTTACTTGTAGTCTGAATTTAATATGATTTCAATAGAAGTTACCAAAATTAGGAGCTTTGATGATGATGATGTGTTTTAATCTCTACCTATGCCTGTAATAACTGGACAAGAGCATGACAAATTAAGAATTAAGAGCATAGGATGTGGGAAGAATTCAAATTCCAATTCTTCCATGTATTAGTGGTTCAGCTTTACCTCTGTGAGCCTGAGGTTTTGCACCTATAAAATGGGGAAAATAGTAGTACTTATCCCATAAGGTTAGTGTGGGGATACATAAATATTACAAAGCATTTCACACAAGTGCCTAGAGAAAAATAAGCAGACAAGAAATGGCAGATAGTGTCATCATCTGAGAGAAAAGATTTAATATTTCTACTTTCATTTTCAAACCATTTTATTCTGACGCATTGTCTCCATGGTGGTTGCCAATGAAAAAAGTAGAAAATTGCAGTACAGTACTTTATCAGTCATAGGGCTCGTTATTATCGTCAGAAGAAAAGAGACTTAGCTAACAAAGGGAAAGGCAAGTAGAAGTGAAATGCATATATAGTTTCAGAGACAAGTTTGTATTTGCCATTGGAGGAAGGAGTTGTGGAAGACTTGAGAATATACAGGCAAGCTTGTGTTTGTTTTTAGGGACCTGTGAGCCTGGTTGGCCACAGTAAATAGCACCATATAAGAGAAGTTCACTGGGGGCTGAGGATATGGTGGCCACTACATTTATTTTGATTATTCCTTAAGAGAACTACCAGAGGGCCTTATATATCACTAAGTAAAACTTTAATGATAAAAGTAATAGAATCACTAAATATTTTTCTTGATTGCTTACTTACCACATTTACATTTTGAAACTGAAATGTTTTGAATTTTCTTATGACAAAAAAGTTAATGTGAGGTAGGGACTAACTTGTTTTCCAATTTTTAGCATTTTTATCAGTTAATATTTTAAACTAAATTTACATTACTGAGTCTGTCAAAGCTAAATAAATTGTATTAATGACTTAAAATGAATCAAAAATAATTAAAAAATCGTCTTATTTAGGAGAGGAGATGCAAATTTACAGACAGTTGTAGAAGTCAAGAATATTTTCTGTGGACTACATCTAAAATTTCATTAAAGAACAATGTAAGCTAGTAGCTGATGAATGAAAAGAGGAATCTGAGAAAGCATAGATATGTAACATGTTATTGATGTCACTGGGCCAAGTCACAGTCTGACGTCAACCCATCACAGCTTGATTTGTTTTAGCGCCCAGCTTGTTGGTGATATAACATTGTTGATCTTTTCAAGCCTGCACTGATTGGGAAGACCGACCCCGCGCTGCTGGGGAGGTTTGGAATGGGGGCATTGACGAATGTGCCCTATACAAATGCTTGGAGAATGGAAGCATTATTCCCATAGAACCTGACTGTGATGAAGAGCCCTCTCCAATCTGTGAACGAGAAGCTGAAGTTGTCCTGGGCACCATTGATGAGTGGACCTGCTGTTCAAAGGAAGTTTGCGGTTTGTATGCAGGCTGAAGCCTTACAGTCAGTTAAAGCCACAAAACACGTGGATGTTCTTTGCGAAAAGGCAGGGCGTGCTTGATGCTTGGTATAGAAAGAAAATATGACAGTTGAAGTTACAATAGAAGTATTGCCATAAATGTCACTTACACTTTCTTAAAACAAGTTTTGCCTCATTATGGTTTTGTTGATTTTGCAAACACACACGCAAAACTCTGGCTATTAGCAATTAATAATATTCAGTAATACAAGATAAAGGATCTGGGAATCTTTGCCTTTTGACAATCCAGGGTGGAAGACAATAATAAACCTTAAATCTGCTGCCTTTTCACATATGACCTATTTCATGAGCTAAGTGGGTTTAATTGCAGTATAAAAACATGCAGAGTGGAGTCATTTCCCTGCTTTGAGTTAGAAACACAAGATTTTAGTTATGTTCACTAATATTTTAATGCTTCTTTTTCTTATTTCCAGGTTGTGACATGACCTTGTGTGAAACTACCTTTCCAACATGTACAGATAGTCAAAAATTGACCGTTGGCCACAGCCCTCTTTCTTGCTGTCCGCAGTACCAATGCGGTGAGTAACTAATTAGGGAAAATAAGCACAAGAGTCATTGTCTATTCAGAGTAGTGAGTTAGATTCTCATTCTTTGTGTCAACAAGGAAATTATTTATTATAAAAGACTGCTTGTGGAGTTGTCTTCCTAAAGATAGTTTTTGTAAACCTGCAATTTCTTTATAAATATATATAAACTTTAAATTTATATATTATATAAATGTGTGTATGTAGATAATTAACTCATTTCAAATATCTTAATCTTAGCAGAAATATATAGGAAATAGCAGGCTTTATATATAAATTCATATAGTCAAAGAGAACTAAACCACACTACTTCATTTATTTTATCATCTCCCTCTATACAAATTTTCAAGTATCTTTGTGTTTCTGCAGAATGTGACCCATTCAAATGCCCCATTATTTCAATACCAGAATGCAGAGAAGATCAATTCATGATGCAAGTTCAACAGGACGAGTCTTGCTGTTTTTCTCCTGTCTGTGGTGAGTGTTCTGTGAGATGATTTCTTGAAAGTAGAAGGATGTAGGGAAAATCTCTTATTTATGTGAATTTCATGGGACTGATGGTAACCAATATTCTGCTGTTATATTCATAGGAATTCCACTGAATAAGAACAATAGAAAAGAAAGTACAGCATTTTAAATGACTCATCATATCATTACAATTAGTGTTACTTTCTCCTATCAATAAAGACTATATGTATCAATCAAAACATGATCAAAATAATATAATCAAGTTGTTTTTTTTCTTTAAGAAGGCCAGCACCTAGTTCTTTTTGGTGAAAAATTTAGTCCTGGCTTTCCTTGAAGAATCAACTAGAATAATGGACTCTGCTAAGACATTATAGGACCTATTTAAAATTTTCCTCCTGTATATCATGTGTGAGCTATGATGATCTCAAAAAAGAATAGTAGAAATGAAGGGTGTCTGGGAGATGACTGTATATGTAGCTATATATTCTGTCTAATGAACTTCACGTTGGAAAACAGAGAATTTTCTATTTTCCATTTCAAGTGAATTATCATATCAAGGATTGCTTGGTGATTAATTGGTTTTAGATGTACTTAGGAAAATCAGAACACATTTCTTGGTACCAAAGTTTTTTGACTACAAGTGGCAAAAACTGATTGATTCTGGCTAGGTTAAGCACAATCAGTTATTGGAAGGATTTGGGGATCAAGATTTTGCAGGATCAAGATGAAACAGATCTTTCAAGCCCTGGAAGGCGAGAAACCAGCTGTTCTAAGTGTCAGTCACTAATGATTGAGTCAGCAATGGATGAATTTCCTATCCTGGAGTGCTTCCACTGATGATTCAAATGCCGTAGAGAGAGATTCTGATTCATCTAATACGGGTTGTTCCCACACACAGGGCTGGGAGAATCAAGCACCTCTGCAACAGTCACTCCAAGTCTGTGTCGGTGGGGCTTTCCTCATGGTTGCTCAGAGTTGTTATCAAAGTTGACAGAGGAATGCTGAACAGCTCTAGAAGACAAGTGTCTACTACATTGTTCATCCATTAATTGAAGTAATCAAGAGTAGTGAATTAAGAAAACATAAATTAATTAATGAAATTGTGATCCTAGTAAGAACTAGTTACTCCAGAAATCTTTATGCCTTGTATTTCTGGTAAGATGGTGTTCTTCTATGTCAGTATGCTTGGAAAGCAAAAGCAATGTACTCAGGCATACTGTTGTTTTTATGACTAAATAAGGAGATCTGTCTGTTAAAGCCTTATTTTCCTTGTTTCTTATTTTATTATACATAATGTATTTTATGTTCATCTCATAAGTGTATAGCAATCTGAGATAATAGTTTGTTTTTAGCTTGGCTGTGACTTCTGGCCTTTTTTTACCTTTAGTTTGTGAATCCTGTACTGAACCAATTCTACTATGTACTGATGGGGAGTTTCTCACTGTGGATCTTAATACCACACACTTCTGTTGTCCTCAGTATTACTGTGGTAAGTATATTTTTACTAATTTAAAATATTTAGGTATGTCTGATATTTCAGAAACCCAGTGCATCTTAGTTGTACTGTTATATCAGACCTTAGTTGAATTCTGGTATATTAAATATATGTTAAATATATGTAATATTTTCATACATCTAAGAGCACTTCTTGAAGAATATCATTACCTTCTAAAAATAGATTAGCTATGACTTTTTCATCATCCTAGAATTTCTGGATATCCAGGTGATTCCATACAGGGCTCTTAATCTGATGAGCGGTTCCAGTTCTCCTACTGTTTACCTTCTTATGTGTTGTTAGTTCTGTCCTCATCAACGTGTGGCGGTTGGGTGGTGGGAGGGGCAGCTCTGGGAAGCTGTGAGTCCATGCACCACATCAGTAATGGCAGTGAACTAAATGGTAGGTAGGAAGAACTGGCTATTACGTGAAGTTAATCTTTACCCTTGTGATATTCCTATTTAGTTTGTGAGCCAAATCTTTGTCCTAAGCCACTGCTCGACTGTGCAGAAGATATGAAACTTGCGAAAGAAAACGTCTCTGGTCAATGTTGTCCAACGTGGCATTGTGGTAACTAATTTTCAAATTTTAAAGCTTTGTTACAATAAATTAATATATTCTGATCGATATAAACATTCTGATTTTTGCCTTTTAGAATGTAGCTGTGAAAACCTGGTTATGCCAACTTGTGAAGTGGTGAGAACACATATTTTGATTGGCTTGTCGTATCTAAATCAGATTATTCTTCCTTTATCTCTCTCATTTCTGAATTCTTCTCAAAGTTAATGGAATTATTTTCATTAAATGGTGCTGAAGTAGATGAAAGTAATGTGCTCTAGTATTAGGGAGCAGCCAACCTTTTACATTTTACTTGAGGTAGGAAAGTGCAATATCTTATTTTTTTACAGGTGACTAAATCTACTAGTTTTATATCTACTTAAGTTCATTGGTCTTAAAATGAAACAAAACATTGAAAAAATATTTTCTCAATATCGAAAGGTGCCCTCAGTGATTATTTCAGAAAGTGCATGAATAATACACCTGCTGTGGAGGAGGAGGGGAGTACACATGTAACTGTCAGTAGCTTCTTAAGAGTTCTCTATGAATATGTAAACCTTAAGGACATTCCAAAGATTCAATTTTTAGAAATAATAATTATGACTCACATGTCACTTATTTAACCATTAGGTGCAGTCCATGATGCTTTACAAGAATTTATTTTCTTGAATTATTTGCCTTCATGATATAAGACTTGAGAAACATAACATATTCCTGGCCCTATATGTCAGAGAAGATAAGTTTTCTTTCAAAAGACATTTTTTTTCTTTTCCATCTTAAACAATGTGTATCATTAGAGAGCCCATTCAGACTCTCCAGGTCAAAGCTATATTCTGGGGAATAAATGAGACATTTTTTAAAGTAATAGAACCCCTCAGGATGGCATTGTTTTGTTTAAAAAGTAGGGTACATAGTTTCAGTTATGCAATAAGTCTTAGAGAGCTACTGCACAGCATAGAGCGTATAGTTAACAATACTGTACCACATAATTAAAAATTTGCTAAGAGGGTAGATATTACATCGTGTTCTTATGACAAAATAATAATAAATGAGAGTGGGAGGAAACACTTGGAGGTGATGGACAGGTCTGTGGCATAGACTGTGTTGACAGTTTCATAGATGTATACTTTTCTCCAATTTCATCAAGTCGTATACGTTAATTATGCACAGCTCTTATGTCAAATAAATAAATTAAATTATATTTTAAAAAGCATTAATCCAATGTTTACTCTATGATGAGTTATCATCTATGATTTGTTTATAATTTTTAAATAACTTTCATAAAAATTGTCTCACTTGATTATTTTGTGTGCACTTTATACACATTTAACAAAAAGAGTAGAATTATGATAGCGTGTTTTTCTCAAGTCCTTCCCAGTTTACACAGCACGTTTAATATTTATCTCGTTGAATCTTCACCAAGTAGGTATTTTTAACTCATTTTATATGTAAGAAAATTGAGTCCTAGAGAGAGTAAATGATTGGCTGAGACCTCCAGGACTCAAACCAAGGGCTATTTTGTGTGTATTTATTTATTCTTAACTGTGCCTTAACTCTTTCATTTCCCCTACAAAGTGCAGCCAAGTATAAGTTTAAACAATAACAGAAGCAGGTGGAGACTGCTTTCTTTCTATTCCTGGCCTTGCCTCTCTCTAGCTCTGTCTCACTTTCCTCATCTGTAATATAAAAATAATAATAATACTTACATTATAGGAATGAAATAAATTAATACAAATGAAATAGTTAGTACCTGACACATAGAAAGGGTTCTATATCTACCAGCTATAATTATTACTGATTAAAAATAAACCCAATACTCAAAAGTTAACCAGAAAGTGTAAATCGTCGTGGAACTTTCTAAGGAAGGTGAGCATCAAGAAAAGTTTGGAAGAAAGTGATAGGTTAAGAATAATAGATGAAAAGAGTTGAACTAGTCCAGACAGGACTCTCTCTCCTTGAGAAAGAGCTAAAGAGAGGAGGAACAACGAAAGACTGTTGAATTGGGGAGGGCTTTAAAGGCAAAGCTGAGGAATTTAGATTTGATTTACTCATTTACCGTTTTCAGTTATTCTTTCAACCAACATTTGTTGAAAACCCATTAGGTGTGGTCATGGTACCAGCCACCTAAAAAGCACAGTCCTACACTGAGGAACTCAGTGCAGATTTAATATGATAGGAGATGGAAAGGTTCCTGCATAGGATGGGACTTAGGATGAAAATGATGTTTGAGGGAGCAGATGTTGCTATTCCTGTGTAGCAGGGTAAGGGCATGACAACATTAGATGATAGGAGATCAGCAAGAGCCTAGTACAGCCATTCATGAATGAGGACCTTGCGTATAGTGAGGTGGAGCAAGAGAGGTTGAATTCAAGAGCAAAAGAGAAGACTTTGGCCCTTTGTAATATATTTTACAAATGTGGATGTGTGGGTGTGTGTATGAGAGACAGAGAGAGGGAGATACCTAAAAACTCTTTCAGGTTACAAGGCTCACACACAAAGGGTCCAAGAGTACTGGGTCCTTGGACAAACACTTTAATGTCGTGAGATGCAGCTCAGAGTGGAGACCCTGGGATTCCATTTGTCCCCAGCCTCATTCAGAGCGCCCCTGGCAACACAGCATTTTGAGGCATTTCAGTAACTTCCAACACAACAATATGAACTTAGGCCTTCCTCCGATGGGATTTTGTGCCTCCTGTGTTCTGGGTCCTTTGAAGCTTCTTTGGGTGGAAGCCTCTATGTTCACTCTTTTACCATGATGTGGTTGTTGCCTTACCTCTGCCTTCTTTTGGAACTTTAATGCTTGTCTTGGTCTGACCTCCAATCAACCAACTAATTCCTGTCTGTCCTTCCCTTTTCCTGGTTTTTTTTTCTTCTAGTGAGTTTCTACCATTCTACCTTTCCCTTGTTCTTTTCCTTCCCCAACATTTGTGCTAGGTGCTGGCCCATCTAGCTTATTTCCAGCTCAACTTTCAAGGTCTGAATATTAATTCTGAATCAAACTTTGACATTACCCAACGTTACAAACATGTACTGAGTGCCTCTTATATTCTATATTAGCACTGTGCTGGCACAAAAACATAAGTAGTAGCTTCAGTATCCTTGAACATCTTACCTGAATATATGTGACCGCGCATGCATCATAATTTATTTTTAATATTCATGGTTCTACACATTGACCTGACCCATCATTCCTGAATCCTCACTCTGAATGATGGCTACATGCTAGTTTCAGTGTTTAAGAAGATATGTCTTGGGGTCGGCCGGGGGGCGCAGTGGTTAAGTTTGTGTGGTCCGCTTCTCGGTGGCCCAGGGTTCGCCAGTTTGAATCCTGGGTGTGGACATGGCACCACTTGGCATGCCATGCTGTGGTTGACGTCCCACATATAAAGTAAAGGAAGATGGGCACGGATGTTAGCTCAGGGTCAGGCTTTCTCAGCAAAAAAGAGGAGGACTGGCAGTAGTTAGCTCAGGGCTGATCTTCCTCAAAATAAATAAATAAATAAAACATAAAAAGAAGATACATCTTTTTAAAATCACGTGTGTGGTTTATTCACACAGACCACAAATGTATTTCAACGTAAAGAGTGTATGTTAGGCCTTTGCAGTATTTCTTTTTTAATGACAGCTTTATTGAAATATCACACATACCATACAATTCAGCCACTTAAAGTATACACGTCAATGGTTTTTATGATGTTCACAGAATTGTGAAACCCTCAATGCTATCAATTTTAGGGTAATTTCATCACTCCAGAAAGAAACTCTGTACCTGTTATCAGGCACTCCTTATTTCCCTCCAACCTCCCCAGCTCTGGGAAATCACTAATCTACTATTTTTTATTTTTATTTTTATTTTTTGTGAGGAAGATTGGCCCTGAGCTAACGTCTGTTGCCAATCTTTCTCTTTTTGCTTGAAGAAGATTGTCCCTGAGCTAACATCTATGCTAATCTTCCTCTATTTTGTATATGGGACGCTGCAACAGCATGGCTTGATGAGCAGTGTGTAGGTCTGTGCCCGGGATATGAACCTGTGAACCCTGGGCTGCAAAAGCAGAGCACACGAATTTAACCACTATGCCACTGGGCCGGCCCCACTACCCTACTTTTTATCTCTATAGATTTGCCTATTATGAATATTTCATTTAAATGGTATCATATAATATGTAGTCTTCTGTGATTCCTTTCACTTAGCGTAAAGTTTTCAAGGTTCATCCATGTTATAGCATGTATCAGTACTTCATCCCTATTTACTATTAAATTATATTCTGTTGTATAGATAAACCTAGACATTTGTCCACGTAAAGGTATACAATGGCCGATAGCACCAGAAAAGATCCTTAACTTCATTAACTATCAGTTAAATGAAAATCAGAACTACAGTAAGATAGCACTTCACACCCACTAAAAAGTCAGATAATAATATATGTTGACTATGATGTAAAGAAATCGGAACCCTCATCACTGCTGGTGGGAATGTAAAATGGCACAGCTGCTTTGAAAAACAATCTGGTAGTTACTTAAAAGGCTAAATATATAGTTGCCATATGACCCAGCAATTCCACTCTTAGATATATACCCATGGGAAATGAAAACATATGTCCATGCAAAAGCTTGTATATGAATATTCATAGCAACGCTATTCATAATAGCCCAAAAGTGGAGACAACTTAAGGTGATTTTGCTACTGACTTTAAAGGAGAGAAGTGCATGCTTGAGAGTAAAAAATACCACGATATTTGATGTAATACTGGGTATTGGCAGAAGAGTCAAGGAGATATTTCCTCTAGGTGAAATTGGGTAAGAATAAAAGTTTGACTAAATATATGGATAAGATCTCACAGGAAATGAGTATAGATGGGGAGAATAGAAGATTTAAACGAAAGCTTGGGAGGACACAGTGGGCATTGTGGCTTTCACTGTTGAAGAAGAGGTGGGTAAGTGACTTAAAAGGGTTGGTGTGAGCCTGATACCTCCTTATCTAATCTTTTGGAGTAGGCGTGCAGTGAGAGAACTTGATTTATTATTATTTTTTAACTCCATATTTCTACAACACTTTATTTCGAATCCCATTGGAACTGCGTAATGACTAAAAGTCATAAAACATCAAATGAGTTAATGTTTATGAAACTACACCTTATAAAAGACTATGAAAAGTAAGATATTATTAGTTTATGGGGAAAAGTGCCTTTTATATGTTACAATGAATTTATTTGAATCATTTTTTGTGTCAAGAATCAAATTGGTTTTATTACTAATGTCATATGAAAGTTAAATGCAGCCATAAAAAGTGATGTTTAAAATGCAGTTCTTGAAACTTTTAAGCCTGGTCCTACTCTTGAGAGGAATCTAAACTATTCCTAATTGGGCAAAGTTTAAGCACTGGTCATGGCAACAATTTGCTAACAGCTAAAGGTTATATAGTACTTTCTGTGTGTCAGCCCTTTGGTAAGCTGTTTACATGTATTGACTCATTTATTTCTCTCAACATTCCTAAGAGGTAGGCAGTATTATTCTCGCCATTTTACAAATGAGGGAAGTGAGGAGTGGACTGGCTAAGTAACCTGTCCTACATCACGCAGCAAGCAGGTAGCAGAGCCAGGATTGGCACACGGGCGTTCCCATCCCTGAGTCTGTGCTATTAATCACTGCGCTATACTCTTCTCCTGTTTTATATGCTGTAGTAGCCTTGCTTGCATGCAGACACCAGAGCCCTGGACCAGCTCTATAGAACAGATCAAGAGCATTTCCAGTAAGTGAAGCTTCCAGGGTTAGCAAGTGTTCTCTTATTTCCAATTGCCCACTAGAAGCTCAGAATCAAACAATATAGTTTTAAAGTTAGGACAAACCATAAAGATCGTCTTATCCACCTTCACTCATTTAATAGATTAGGAAATTAAAGTTTAGAGAGACTGAGTGATCCGTGATCACATTATTTATTGTAAATTTCTTCCATGGGCTGCTAATTAAACGACCACTGGGTTAATCCAAGCCTGTTTATTATCAAATATTTATTAAGCCCATGCTATGTGTTTGGCTGTGTGGTAGAGAACTCATTAGATGTTACATGGTGTATTTTTCTTTATGATTGTCATGTAATAAGCCATACGATCCATCATATAATAACAATATCTTTCTAATAGGGAGAATTTACTACAATAGACCGTAACTTTCAGAGTGATTGTGGATGTGTGAAGTATCTCTGTGGTAACTATGCTTTTTGTAACTTTTAAATGATAGTGAATACTGTTGGTGTCTGTTGTTGATAATTAACAAATTAAAGATGATTTTCTTTGAGATGTGTTACATATTTTAAGCCATTCACCAGCTTTTGAGTATAAAAATGTCTATTATTTTTTAGTTTCTTCTTTTGTAATATCTCTAAATGTTCTGAGAAATTTGATAATAGGAGAGAAAAATGAATACTTTTTCAGAGGCTTGACAGAATTTAAAGTTGATACTAGAGTTCTTTTTAATATATTTAAATAATATTTAATTTTTAAAAAGTAGGCAACATCTAAAAGTGAGATTTTTGCTCATTGTTTTATTATTATTGATGTTAATTTTGCAAAGTGCAGAGTTAATTTTCTACGAAATAAATCTTCATATTAAGTATTCGTAGGTTAATAAAAAATAAAACTTTCATTCAACAACTTGAAACTTATGTATTTTTATATGAAATAAGGCCCAAATTCAGTGTTGGTGAGTCACAAAGAGCCTCTGAGCTGAATTCTTCATCACTAGTCTAGCCCACCTCAATATACCACCTTTAAGGGTATGAGAGCGTATTAAATCAGCTACCTTCATCAGGAAGTATTATTTATATAACTATTTATTTTGCAAGACAATAAAGTTGAAAATTTTCTCTCAAAATAACAATTAAAAACCATAAAATGTCACACGGTCCCATGATGAAGAGACCTACTACTATTGATTTCGATGAGTCTCCATCTATATCCACTCCCCAAAATGGTCATGTCTTGTTTCCGGAAGAGGGAACAGCAAGTAGATTGATGATCTCTTAGGTATAAAATTCTGGAATCTGCTATAAAGTATAGCTTTTGGAGGAAGTTCAAACATTTAACAGCAGTTGAGTTTACAGATTAATTTCTCATTGTAGGTTAAGGAATAAATGTGCTGCATTCATTATTAAGTAAGCTCTTGAGTTATTTAACAACATATAAAGGTGAAGATCTTCATTGGTTTTGAAAAATTTCCACATCATAATGAAAACATAGACTTAAATAAAAGTTCCAGTGATTGATTAATAAAATCCTCAGTATAGTACTTTCTTGTTGACTATTTCTTTTTCTTAGAAAAGGATGATGTGTGCGTATTTCAAGAAGTATCAGTATTGAATCCTGGCCAATCTATGATAAAGTATTTGGAAGGAGACTTTTGTTATACAATAGAGTGTCTGGAAGAAAAAGATAACCATACAGGCTTTCACACTCTGAATTTTACAATGGTGAATTGTTCAAAAGAATGTGACATTGTAAGTATTCTTTATAAGTCATTCTGGTGAGAGTTAATCGATCTTAAAATGGCAGCTATAGAATTTGAACTAGTGACTACTCCATAAGTCAAGAATATATACTCAAATCATTCTTCTGTCATCTATTAATGTCTAATATATCTATATAATGCAGACTTTCCTTTTTCTGTGTATAACCTTGAGCTTCAGGGGTCTTACTATTACAGCTTGCTTGACCTGAGGTTGTTACACCTACTTGATGAATCTTGGCTGGTAGATGTAAAGGATATCATTTGCTTCACTTCCTATATAGCCACATAAAGTCAACTATTATCTGAAGTGCCTCAAATTCAACCTTAGAAATGCTTCCAGGTGTTCTGAGAGAGCATATAGTTATATGGGCAGCACATCGAGAACTAATTCATTAAAATATTAGTATCGTTGTGTGGTTAATTTAATGTATTATCATTATGCACAGCACCAGGTATACACTCCATCTCCAAGTGATTATGACTGTTGTGGTACCTGCAAAAATGTGTCCTGCAAATTTCAAAGGGAAAATGGAACATCAGTTATATATGAGGTATGAATTCCTTATTTCCTAAAATGTATCCCTTGGAGGTTAGCTCTCTGTGCCACTTTTTAAAGAAGATGTTCTTAAGTCAAATAAGTTTGAAAAATGCACACAATCATATAGAGTTCTACATACAATGAACACACCCATATACAGCATACTGACAACACACAAGACACGGTTACATTTGTTAAATTTTAAAGTATCTGATAATTCCTGTTGTAAGGAAACATGTTTAACTCATTTCTCAAACTTATTTTATCATAGATCCTCACTTTTTTCCAGATGTGAGGAATGAGCTTTGAGAAATGCGTATTTCTAATCATTACAAATGGAAAGAACAATATTGGTTTTTTTCCACTCACTTGAAATGAAGCATTTTAATAGAAATCTGAAATCCAAGATGTTAGCACTTTATTATTTCACATATTGAAGATTTAAGTGGATAAATAAGAGAAAAGTTTTAGAATATCTGACAATTTAAAAAAATATGATTCTAAAAGTCATTGTTATACCACATCTTTCCATCAAAAACAATAAAATTATTCAGAATTCTCCCATTATCTCATAATAACTCTGACAGGTGTGCAGACTGACCTACTCCCTGCCTAGAACAGGAGAAGAGAACTTCATAATTAGTGCAGTTGTTAGTGACGCCACCAGATTTAGGAGGGTCACAAATTCTGTTTATAATTTACATCACCTGAAGGTAGTTCCAGTTTATTTTGCTATCCTTAATTTTTTCCCATTAACAGTTTAATCTTCTGGAGGTCTTATTTCTGATATTCTTAATTACATAGGATTGCTGAGATACCCAAAGAAAAACAGATATCTCCAATTCTGTACATTTTATTAAATAAGAAAGATGAACAATTATCTTCTTGTGCCATAGCCTATTGTTTTACCATTATGTGCAAAGTAGTGTTATTGATTTAAACAGTCTTGTTGATATTATTTATCTGTTTTGTAATATATTTTCTAAAGAAAGAGTCTTGAAAAAGGAAACATAAAATGATGAGGAGGTGTAGGTGTCAGTGAGAGAAAAGGAATCAGAGACTACTTGAAAAAATACAGTAATTTGGAGATTTTGGTAACAGGGCAACATAAACTCTATAGATGTCAATAATCCAGGAACGATTGGCATATATAATTAGTATTCTCAGTATTATCCCTGAAATTTGAATAAAAAATTAAATTATGTTCTGAATATTTTTTAAGAACACAGCAAGTATGCAATATAGGTAAATATACAGCAGGATCATTAACTCTTGGCTCTTTCAAAGATAAGCTTTAGTTACCTAGAAATGTAATTTCTATGGTACAACTAATTTTTTATTTCAGATAAATTTTATAGTACTATTTGAATTGAATATTAGAATTACTATTTGAATTTGAATATTTTATCTTCTTTTAGACCTGGACTTGTAGATAATTTCCAATTGAAGTTCATAGAATACCTGAAGATATCCATAAGTTAAAACAGAATCTACAGAAAAAAAGTTTGTCAAAATTCTTTACTGGTCCCTAAGGAATCTTCAAGCCAGGGTTTGACTAGCATTTAAAAATGCAAGTTATAAAATAAAATATAGATCAACAATTACTGCCCAATAACTACATAATAATTATTTTCAGCTGACTTTACTTCTAAATAAGAATTCTGAAGTCAGGAATGAAATAAGCAGTTATTATGTTTAAAAATTTGTTAGAAGAATAGGAATAGGTTTTTAAATAACCATAAGGTATAAAAACTAGAACCCTAAGTCACTAATCACTATCATCCAAAGACTTTTTAATTTTTTGCTGATAAGGGAGTGGAAGGAAGAATAAACAAATCTCAAGAAGGGAGGCATATTAAGTAGTATGATTTGTTGTTTTATAATTAGTGAGGAAATATTAGAGCAAGACCTTTGACACTTGGCCAAATTAAATAGCTAATTTTTTAATAGAAACAGATACCTATTTGCTTCTTTCTGTTGCTTTATTTCACATTAACATCTCAGTTCTAGTATGAAACCAAACACACACACACATTACATGCATATGTATTTTTAACCATTTTAGATACATTTTGGGACATTTCCAGATGTAAATTTCATGTCACAGGAGACTCTCTACGTCTTGACTTGACTTTTGATTCAGTAGAATAGGAAATATTCTTCTTAAGAAATGTAGCAGATTTTAATAAACAAAACAGCAACTTTCTTGTTTACTTTTAGGAGGGGAGTACCTGGCATTATAACTGCTCCACGTACGAGTGTGTGAAGACGGATGAAGGGACAATGATTCTGAACTACAGTATGGTCTGTCCTCCTTTTAATGAGACAGAGTGCAAAATGGTTTGTACTTTGTTATATCTAAGAAAATTAGTGTTAAATATAATTTAGAAAATACACATTAATATGCTTTCCAAGGTCATAAATACAGACATTGTAGCTTATTTATTTTGGTGAATGTTTTATTTTTATGGATGTATAAAAGCTCTGTTATATTCCCTCAGTTTGCTATTTTGAGTTATGTATGGTGTTTCTTATAATTTTCACTCTTCCTGAATGGATATTATGTTATCTCTAGGTTTTTAATATGTAAACCAAAGAATTATTGAAAACTCATTTGATCAGCAGACCTAGTCTTTCTTTCAGTTTAGATTAATAAACTAATCAATCAGAGGTTGGCCAATTTTCTCTTTCTTAAGCACACAGCCGGATTTATGATGGCATTCAATTTTGATGCATGCTGGCCTAAGTGAAGCTTGTCCTGGCTTCTCTGAGCACAGGCCACTGCATTACTGACCCTTTAGTTTTGCTCTCCCAGTTCCCTGTTCTCTCAGAGAAGAGTCCATTGAGAGAGTAGATTTTTGAAAGTGATAACAAGTTTTAAAAAAGATTCTTTGTAGCTTTAATTATTTAGAAGATAATAATCCCTAATGAAAGTTGAGCTTTGCTCTGTTGTGTGAGGCGATGTTTTTCTTGAGTGTAGAGAAATAGCATGGTCTCATTGATTTTGTTTTTTCCGAGACGTGCCCCTTTACAGGTGATGGCTAGCTAGCAGGCTGGTTAGATAGATATCATATGTACTAAAGTAATAGAATTCCATCTCCTGGAAGAATCTTAGGCATCGTCTTATTTCACAGATTCACTATTATAAAGTAAATTATTCTTTTATTTGAATTGCAATTAGCAAGTAACTAAAAGCAATTAACAACTTATTGTAAGAATTCCAAAAGATAATCAACAAAATTTCCTTAATTTTGTCTTTGGCAAGAGTCATCCTGAAGTGGAGAATTTTTTTGAATAATAAAATATTACAGAAAAAGATATGTCATTTTAGCACTTCAGTTATTTTCAGGAACTCAGTCTAGTCTGATAGCATAGTTTGGATTATTTTGAGGAGTTTAAAAAACATAATGGCCTCTATTTAGAGTGCCTATTAGTACTTTGCTTTGGTAAGAAATTTTTTTATGGTATTTATAATGTGTTCTTTTAAGTAAGTTAATCTTTTTGTGCTCCTTTTCATATTACTAATGAATAAATAAAATTTTAAACAAAATATCTGCTCCTAATTTTAAAAACAAAGAAATTCTTATTAGAAATAGTTAAATTCCAATCATTTTCCTATAAAGGCTTTGTGGTATTTAATAAAAATATTGAGAAATTTAGTTTTCTATTTCTAGTCTAAGAGGAAATAAACGAACTCTGTGATTTTTGACTTTATTCCTTCTCTCCTCCTAGAATGAAGGGATTGTAAAGCTCTATAATGAAGGCTGTTGCAAGATCTGTAAGTGAGGACCTATTACATCTATTAATTTGATAGATTAATTTTAATTGCTCACTGTGATTATGATTTTTCTCATAAAATTCAGTTCTTATGATGCAAGGAGGGAAGCAAATGCTATAATATATATTATTTAAATGTTTTTGTGTCATGTGGTTGATTATTTTGTACTTAGTCTTTATCTTCTGGAGTATGAGTAAAGTGTTTTTAATTAGGATGAATTTTAACTTATGTATTAGAAATTTCTTTAATGTTGCATTTACCAAGGGTATAGAATAGAATATTAATAGGTTTTAAGCTCAAAGGTGCCCTAGGGTCAAACATGCTTGGAACACACTGAACTACACAAAGTGGATTTTGATGAGAATGGCACTGTGACTCCAATAAGGATGTAGAGTGCAGTAGTTTCCAAACCTTTTTGAACAAGTCTATGATTCTGTATAATACATTTGAGAAATGCCAGTTTAGTGAATTGTATTTAAACCTTACATATAAAACTTCTCATACTTATTTTGATAAAGTTATGTGCATGCAATATATTTTAGATTAATTTGAATTATAAGGTTTATTTCTCAGTAATTTTTAATGATTTTAAGGACTAAAATAGAATAGAGCGGTATTCATGCAACCACTTTCATTTTTTCTTTTTAAAGTATTTACGAATTTATGTCAAAATAAAAATAGAAGTTTTAGGAAATTTGGCACAGATAATAATTTTAAAATTGTTTAGAGAAGCTTTCGGAAAAAAGGGTACAATACACTTCAGGTTAATAATGCCATAATGGAGGGTTGGATTCTTAGATACAAATTATTAGGCTTCTCAAGTGAGATTTCTGAACTTTTTTCATCAAGGACTAAATCCCATAAATATGTAAAAATGGTCTTGTGTATTTAAAGCTGATAGTCATATGGAACAGAATATTAAAATATGTTAAAAAATTGATACAACATAATTATAATATATACTATTGAACATAATAGCGTATAAATCAGGAACTATCCTAAGTTTTCTACAGGCTGTTTATTTCTCACAAAATTCCAATGAAATAGGTTCTGCATTCATCCTGACTTTCAGCTTAGCGAGGGTAAGTAACTCTCCGAGTCATACCTCTTGTGAAGGATGGGATTCAATTCCAGACTTGATTGCACAGCCTGCTTCTTAAGCACTAGTGATACTCTGGAACATCCCCAGGATAAGTTTTGGGAGAGGACAGAGGCTGACTGATGTCTGTTGATCATTGGCAGGGCTAGTATGACAGAGATTTTCTTTACATGAGTTATAAAAAAACAAATCCAACACATACGTAGACACCCATCACAAACAAAAAAGTTCAACGTAAGATGGCTTGATGTCTAATTTGTTATTGTATTAGTTTGTCGGGGCTGCCATAACAAAGTACCACAAACTGGATGACTGAACGGATGTTTATTGGCTCACAGTTCTGAAGGTTGGAAGTCTAGGACAAAGAAGTGGGCAGGGTCGGTTCCTTCGGAGGGCTGCGGGGGAAGGGGTGTTCCAGGCCTCTCTCCTTGGCTTGTAGATGACTGCCTTCATGTTCCCTTGGTGTTCTCTTGATCCACTTATCTGTTTCCAAATTTCCGGTCATAAAGATGTCAGTTATACTGGATTAGGGCCCACCCTAATGACCTCATTTTTACTTGATTACCTCTGAAAAGACCCTGTCTCCAAATAGGGTCACATTCTGAGGTACATAGGAATATTTGGAAGACACAATTCAACCTATAACAGTTATCTTGTTGGGACTTTTGTGGGTAATATAATGTATAAAAAAAAGCACTTGTGCATTTTTAATTGCTAGAGCTCAGACACAAACTAATTAAAAATTTTATGCTCATTAGAAATAAGCAATTTTTTTATTCAATATTCTCTGAGTCAAATGTAAACTAATATGTATCAAATAGTCATTGTATCAGGAACTTAAGGAATGAAATTTAGGCTCCAGAATCTGAGCAAGCTTATATTTTTATGATCTCATTTCTCTTTCCTTCTGCTCCCTCAAGTCTAGACTCTTCTTTAGGTGTGAGATACAGGAATAGAATCATATTGCAATATGAAGTCCTTGGATTTGTAGCCCCATGTTAATTACTAGAGAAGTGAGTACATTTATGTTATCTGAGGGTGAACAGGATCTGTGTGACTGATCATATTGCTACCATTCATTTCCTGCCACACATCAACACTATTAAGCCCACTGCAGACAGCGCTACAATTATTCTTCACCACAGTTCTGGGAGGTAGGTGTGGTTTCCCCTACAGATGAGGAAATGAAGATTCAGAAAAGTTGATCGCACTAGTCAGTCATAGATTTAGGCCTCTCCAGTGCCTGGTCCCAGGATCTTTCAATTTTGCCAAGCTCTTTGAAGTTGCGGAATAATAACAAGCCACCTGTTTCTCTCATTGGACATATAAGAACTTGTGATGTATTTCTGCTTTGGTGTCAGAGAACCCTTGCCTGCAGTCTGCTTTCTGGTGACCAGGCTGTATCAGAGAGACTGTAGATGTGGATGGTGGGTGCTGTGCTAAACAAAATCTGTTACAATAAAGTCTCTGTGTAATGAATAGGAGATGATTAGTACAAACAGATTTGGCCAACTAACAATAAATTTATGCTGTCCCAGTTTCATTCATCGAATGAATTAAACAGATTTTTATTGAGTGCCTCTCAGGTACCAGACACTCTTTTAGGCACTGGGATTATAATAGTGAATGAAACAATATCTGTGTGCACAGTGCATGTTATCTAGAAGAGGAGGAAACAATAAATATGTAAATATATACTATTATGTCAGGCAGTGATGAGTGATATAAAGAAAAACAGTGCAGAAAAAAAGGGATGGAGAGTGAGGGGAACTGGGTTGCTAATTTAAGTGGGTAGTTAGAGAATGCCTCTATGAGGAGGTGTCATTTGAGCAGAGAGTGAATGTCCTTGGGAAGCCAGCCAGAAAGAGTGAAGAGTATTCAAAGTGGAGGAAATAGCCAAGTGCGCCTATAGCACGGGGACAAAGGTGATAGAACAAAGAGGGAAGGCACCTAATAGGTCATGTTAAAGATGATTTCTTTATTCTTAAACTTACATTAGAATAGAAGGCTAATGAAGGAACCATGGAGTGAAAGCATCATAAGGTAGAAAACAGACTGCCCTCTGCCACCAACACTGAGCTTTGGGCCACAATACAGTGGTAGGTCAGGAAAAAGAGAAAGGACAAGCCTAGGAGATGGAGGAGGAGCGACAAATGAGATGGGAGGAAAACCAGAGTGCTCTGGAAGCTAAGTGCGGAAAGCATTATCAAGGAGGAGAGAGTGATGGACTGGGTCACATGCTGCTGAGAAGTCAAGTAGAATGAGAACTGAGATGTGACCTTTGAAATTAGCAATTTGGAGGTCATGGGTGGCCTTGACAAAGGACAGTTTAATTTCAGGCAATCTTTGCTACTTATCTCCACTTCATCCAGAGTAGCTTAATTTTTATATACTTTACGTGTGGCAAATTCATTTAAGCATTTATTTAAATAAAGCATTTATTTAAAAACTCATTTGAAAATTGGAAATCTAATTCCAGTCTTTTGCAAACAAGGAAACTCAGCAGAATGATTCAATGGCTTTCCTGAAGTGACGAAGCAAGTTAGTAACAGAGTGAAGGAAGAACCTTGGTCTTTTGCATCCTGATTCAGGGGTTGCATCTACTATCATAGAGCATTAAATATATATTCTTGGGTGTATTATCAAGTGATAATCATCACACACAGAGGCACATTAATGTAACATTAATTAATAGAAACTGTTTTCATCTGAAATCAAAGAGGTCATTTCAGAGCCATAAAATCAAGTGTAATATGATTCATCCATAACTTTCGACATAGTTGATAAATAATTCAATTACATTCATGCATGATTTTATATTAATATCCATGACGATAATGTGGTTTTAAATCTATCAGTTTTTAATTTTAAAATAGATTTATGAATATATGTACAGATGCCTTGATTATGTATATGTATATTTACTTCTACATGCCATGATTCATTCTAAAAATTATTTTATATTTTTAGAATTTTAAGTATATATTTTGTCTGTCGATTTATCTATACACCACACACAGGTTGGTGTTAGCATTATTGCATGTGTGGAATATTTTTGTTTATAATTATGACAATCATTCCAGGACAATAAGTTAAAGAGATGAGTATAAAGCTAGAAAATATAAGAGAGAATCTATTTAGAAGGTGAATATAAATATTGAACATAAAATATGTAAGAGTAACATTTTAGTATATCTTGATATAGGAATATATTTTATAAAAATATATCAATTTTCTATTTTAAATATATTCATGTGTTTAACTAAATTAAGAAACAATTTGAAATCGGCCTTTTGATGAATAAATTTTTTTATATTTTATCAGGCAAACGAGAAGAAAGAATATGTCAGAGAGTGATCATTAAATCAATTATAAGGAGACAGGACTGTATAAGTCAAAGCTCTGTAAGTGGAAAAGTATCATTTGTTACATAAAACACACGTGTCTTTTAAAAGTATGTGTATCTTGGCACTAATAAGTTTGTAAGCCAACGAAATGCCAACACTTACAATATTTAACTTTGAGATTGTTCCCACATTCTAATATTAAAATATTCTGTTTGTGAAACAATGTGAATTATTCTTAGCATAAATAATCAACAATTCTGAACGATAATTGCAATCCAGAGAGATGGAAATTAAGCTTAAATACATTTGACTACATTTCCTGACTATGCAATTTTACTCAGCAAAAATAGTCCTAGTTCTAACTTCACCCCCTTAATATGACCTATCTAATTCTATAGTCTATTTGAGCCATGATATAATATAGGTTAGAGAGAATCATTAGGTGGTGATTAATATAGTCCATACACCTGTTTAGTTATGTGTCTTATTTCATACCTTGAGTTACATCAGAATTGCTGTGTTGGGCATCACCATGAATCTCTTTGACTTATCTGAGTTACTAAGTTACAACCTAGTATTTTTTTGCCATCTCTGCAATACAGAAGCTTGAGAGTAAGTGATAAGGCAGAAAGTCTTGCTTTCATTTGACTTCCTAGTAGAATCAAATAGCCAGTTTTTAAAATTTTTAAGCTTTTTTCCCTCACTGTCTCTCCTTACAGATAAATGTCGCATCTTGTGATGGAAAATGCCCATCAGCTACCATATATAACATCAATATTGAGAGCCATCTAAGATTCTGCAAGTGTTGTCGTGAAAATGGAGTGCGGAACTTGACTGTGCCACTGTACTGCTCGGGAAATGGCACTGAAATCATGCACACTCTCCAGGAACCCATCGACTGCACATGCCAGTGGAACTGAACTTGGATTCCGGGAGCTCTGTGCAACATCATAACATTGAATGGAGTTAACTTTTATCTCTATTATTTAGGCACAGGGTGGATTGATACTGTTTAATAATAATGTATTTTTCAGACTATTGGGACATGGCAATTTAACACTTGGTACAAAATATATACAATTTCCATGGAAAAATTAGATTTATTGATTTTCTCTATTTTGGAGAATCAAATGATTTTAAGTTGTTCAGCTGAAATGCTGTTATGTATATAATTGCTACATGCCACAGACCTGGGATATTGTCATCAACTAGAAGGTTATTTTGCAGAATTCCTTTCAGTTTCACTCAGTAGTTATTTTTTATTTGCCAAGTCTGTTATAACTATCCAAATTAAGATATTCTTTTATCTCTACAGCTTGGTAAATGTAATCATTTAAAATTGGCATCTGGATAGTCATAAAGAGTGGTGTGCTTAGAGACAGATCATGGAATTAGAAGATTTTAGATTATTTATAGCCTGAATGGATATTAGGGATGTTATTGCAAATTCCCTTCATTTTGCAAGAGTATCAGTTAACTGGAGAAGCTGTGTGACTTGTACAAATTCATTTGGTGTAACAATATAGTGAATTCACATTAACAACTGGGCTAAATCTAGGTCTTTCTTATTCCAGTCCTAAGTTCTTTTCTTCTGAACAGTATATTAAAGTGTCTATCACAGAAGCTTTTATTCTTGAAGAGTATGCCTTGCACAGAAGAAAGAATTTTAAATTCAATGCCTTTAAAAAGAAGGAAAAAATGCAACACATACATATGTATATAAATACATATAATAGTTATCCCAGTAATAAGGAATGGGGAACTGTAGCATCAGTTGCTAAATAGCAGAGGGATATCATGGGCTTTTATTTTTTATACCATTAAAACTGTTATTAAGTATGTTTTTAGTATTTAACATTTAGTTAGCTATTCCCTGTCTCATGAATGTCTAATTTTTGAGATGTATATGCATACTATTGAAGTTGCGTGCTATTTTGCTTTTCATGCTGCTGCTTCGCCAATGAAGAATGAAATAAAATGATTTGAATGTATTAATAATTCTACAACAGAATGTTGCACTTTTTAAAAACAGTAGATTTTTGACATTTGCAAAAAATATATCCTGAGATCTTTGCAAATGCCCAAATTCTTTGCCACTTATGGTATATAGTTATCTGAGTTTCCTTGTCTGTAAAAAGGAGAGAATGCTCTATATGATATGATTGTTGTGGGGATCAAATGAAGTCAAACATCAACAAGAGAACAGCAAAGTTGCACTGAAAAGCAGATGCTCGGGCCTGATGGACGAGGCTCAGATTTGAGCTAGGTGATTTGCTCCCTTTCAAAATCATGCTTACCAGAAAAATGGCAACTTAGTAGATATTTTGCACCTACAGGGATACCCAGAAATGGATGAAAGAATGAAATGAACCTTGCATCAATGAAGTTCCAGTGTCTACTGTGTATAAAAATTGATTTTATCTTATTTGTGCTTAATAGAAGTGTTTCATTTAGGCATTCACTTTTTGATATTCTTTGATTCCTGTTAACATATAGATTGAATTAAATGTTTTCAGTTAAAATAAATTAACATTTTGCTTAAGAGAAACTGTTGTGTATCTCACATGAGGCACATAATACTGTATATTATCTGCCACCCACTTCTTTACTTTCAGGCTCTGTAAAATATTTGTCATTAAATTGAAAATATTAAATCATCTTTAAACCTATTTTTGGGAAAAAGAGAAACATTCTCCTAGAACTTCGCAAACACTCTCAAATACTACAACAGATGCCTATGAGCACCATCTATGTGTCAGGTGCTGTTCTAAGCTCTGAGGACACGGCAGAATGAAACAGACACAGTGCTCACTCTCATGCAACTCAACTTAGAGTCTAGTGAGAAAGTAGGCATTAGATAAATGCCCACACCTATGAGGAAGTCCAGAAGGAGAGCCCACAGCTTTTTGGAATGTAGTACATGATAAAGATGTTCCTCAAGTCAGCAGAGGACAAAATGGACATTCCATAAACGGTGTTGCGACAACTGGATAGTAACTTGGACAAAGAGAAATTTAGATTCATACATCCATTGACATCAGGATTGATACTAAATGAATCAGAGATTTAAATGTCCAACAAAAGAAAGAAAGTAGAAGTTCTAAAATAAAATACGTGAGAAATTCATTATAACCTTAGAGCGGTGAGAGCCATTCTAATTCTGGCTCAATATCCAGAAAAGATTGATAAATGTAACAAGAGGAAAACTAAAAACAGATAAACATTCTGCAAGACAAAAAGTGTCATAGAGTCAAAATAAAAATGTAAAATCAAAGCACTATATTTGCAATGTGTCACTGACAAAGGCTAATCTTCCTATGTATAAAGAGCCCCTAAAAAAATCCCAAGAGGAAAATAGTGACAACTCAATAGAAAGATGGGCAAGGACTTGCACTGCTAGTGCAAAGAAAAAGAAATAATACTAGTGAATCCTTTAACAATTAAAAGATGAAGCATAATTTTAATAAAAACATTTCAGATTCAATCTACACTGATATACACTTTCTCATTTCAGTAGCAATTCAGAAGTCTAATTATACTTTTATTTTTTTAAGGCTCTGGGAAAACAGGTACTTTCATATGTCATTGATGATGACACAAAATAGTAGAAATACTGAGGCTTTCTCAATGTCTACTAAAATTTAAAGGTGCTTTCTGGTTTGACCAAGCTATCTAGGATATATACCCTAGACAAATAACTGTGCAAACACAAAATGGGACTTATGCAAGGTTATTCATCAGCACTGTTTGTAATGCAAAAGACTGGAACCGGCAAGAGTTGAGGAAATAAATATTAACCCATATAATTTAATAGTATGCAACTGTTAAAAAAAAGAATGAAAGAGAAATTTGTATATTGGTGTGGAATGATCTCTAGGTTATATTATTTTTTATAATTTTTAATTTCTTTAAGAATTTTTTCTTAAAAGTTTTTCTGCAGTAGAAATTTATATGCTACATAGTATTCCATTAAGTGAATATCACAACTTGTTTCACCAGTCTATTGATGGATATTAAATTTGTTTTTAATTTTCCCCATCTTAAATCCTTCTGCATGAAGTGGAATTAAAGGATCAAATGGCATCAACATTTTTTTTTTAAAGATTGGCACCTGAGCTAATATCTGTTGACAATCTTTTTTGTTTTTTCTTCTTCTTCTCCCCAAAGCACCCCCTCGCCCCAGTACATAGTTGTATATTGTAGATATGAGTCCTTCTAGTTCTGCTATGTGGGATGCCGCCTCAGCATAGCTTGATGAGCAGTGCCATGTCCGCACCCAGGATCCAAACCAGGGAAACCCTGGGCCACCCAATTGGAGCACATGAACTTAACCACTCTGTCCTGAAGAATCTCCATGTGTATTGCCTAATTTGTTTTCCACAACTGCTGAATCAGCTTTTTCCTCCCACCAAAAGTATATGAGAGTTTGTTTCTTTTATCCTTTATCATCATCCACACTAGTTAGTCACAGATAAAAGTCTTTGTTGGTATAATAAGCAGAAAATGTCAGCTCATATATTAGCAAATATGTCTGAGTATGCCACTGCATTCAAAGCTTTTCATATACTTATTATATTTCTTCTTTTGTCTGTTTTTCCTTTGTCCATTTTCTTAGTGATAATTTTACAGTGTGTCCTGTAAGGACAAATAATTTTGCAAACTTTAACTCACCAGGGTCCATCTTTAAGAATATTATAATTAATATAATCTGAGATTTTTTGTTCCGTCTTTTAAAATTAAATTATTAAGAGAAAATCTCTCATTCCTGTTAGTTTCAAGAGATAACTCTAAATTAATTACTAATTTATTCCATTCAAGAAAGCTAGAAAGGAGAAGAGGCAGATATGGTACTTTGAGTCTCTGATGCCTAAAAGGAGAATGGAGGCCTTTAATAGGAGTGGAAAGAAGGTTTCTGAGCTTTTTCTAAGCAATCAATTACCATGTGATGCGTCAAGATTAATGTTCACATTATACAGAAAAGAAAACTATTGAAATCCAGATATCTCAACAATTTCTTAAAATTAACCTATTGAGAACATTTGTGGTTACAACATGTAGATTCAGAAGATTGCAAGATGTAGAAGAAGCATGACTCTGACTGAGAGTCTGTAGCCCAACAAGTGGGTTAGGATTCACATTTTTGCTAATATTCCAGACAGGATGGCTGTGAATGGCCACGCAATTCGGTCCCTGTAAAAAAGTGCCCATCTGAAGGTGAGAGAGTGCTGAAATCTGGCTCGAGCTCCTCAAGCCAGATCATATATGCTGACAAGAGGCTCCTTCTGCCCAGAAGAAGGAATGCCTTTTTCTTTGCACAAAGACACTGGCCTCTTGCCAAGCCAAACACTCGTCTTTGGGATAGCATCTTCCCAGAGGGAGAAGATGGTTTCTAATAACTTCAGAGGTAAGAAAGGGGAGGCATTTTTTAACCCATCCACCAGACATTGTGACTTTTCCTAGTATATATGCCATGAATATGCACCTTTTGCTATTTTGCACAAAGGTTAGCAACCGCGCTGTTCCAAGTCTTCATTTTTTTTCTAATCATCTTATAAATGGCTACCGTGCTTAGAATCTTGCCTCTATACTCCATCTTTGAGGGAAAAAACCAACTTTTTAGAGTTTTTTCACTAACTACTGCTAACTAGAAAACTTGAAGTTCTGGCTAAAGTCAAAATTCTTTATTAGATTATCAAAAATGTTATCTGTTATCGGAGAATACGAAGATTACAGAAAACCTGAGATGAATAAAAAATAAAATTGTATTTACTAAAGAATATGGAATTTAAGTTTTCTGTCTTCGCAGTCATGTTAATTTGTGTCAATATTATTTTAAATTATATCTGTGTATATTTTCTTTTCTTTTTTGGGGGGGGAGGTGGAGATTGGCTCTGAGCTAACATCTGCTGCCAATCTGGTTTGTAATAATACGGTTGCTGACCAGTTTCTTGTACATACAGATCCCAAACTCCAAGTTAAGGAATTGGAAATGGAAGCGATATAAGCTATTTCCTTTCCCTTTTCCAGTAGACGTTTTATCTATTAAAAATAACAGACTTTCTTTGGAAATTAGTTTTACTCAGTTAAACAATTTTAGTTTGTGATTTGTTTTCTTTTGTTTTTATATTTTTCTATTTCTTCAATGTTTAGATAAACATTAGTCAGGGATACATTAGAGAGTGTTGGTGATGCACCATTTTAAACTTGAAGACCCAGTGAAACATTTTTTATAGTACCAAAAATTCAGAAACAACTTAAATTTTCTACAATTCTACAGTTTGGTTATTGTTGTATAAATTATGTGACATTTACAACTTGGATTATGATACATAATTCCATATTTTCAAAGATTCTTTAGTGATGAAAAATGTTTTGTGAAAAAAGCAAGATACAAAACTAGATTATTCCAATCTTGCTAAAAAAATATATATATGCATTGCACAGACAACATCTTGGGAAGAAACACATGAAAATGTTCAACACTGGCTACCTTGGGCTGATGGGATTATGGGTGAATTTATCTGTTTTGTACTCATAAACATTTTCCAAATTCTCTTCAATAAGCAAGTGTTTCTTTTGAAATCTGAAAAAAACTAGGATTTTTTTTTTCTGTTTTATTTTTAAAGAGAGAATAAGTCCCTTAGAGAAACAACAATTTTGGCAGATGGAATAAAAAATCAAAATTACCCCAAAGTATAAATTTTATTACTTAAGCAATGAAAAAACAATTCTATTCATTCTTTGTATTTTTTTTTAAGATTAGCCATTTGAATAATATCAACTTCAAACAAGCATAACACTTAAGAGAAGGGAAAAGAAGAAAACTGATTTGCTTAGGTAAAGGAGGCCATATTGAGAGTCAGGTGGAATTTGTGGCCCATATTTTAAGAGAGTGAGTTTGTTTGTATTTGAAAGAGAACCACTCAGGGGCCATTTAAAATTTGCCAACTTGATAATTGTTTCTCTTGATTTAGGAATTAGGAAATATCAAAAAGAAACACTGCTTATATTTATCATCATCAAAAAATGACCACTTTCAGCAGCTTCATTTTGGCTCAAATAACGTATATACGGTGTGTCTGTGGGTTGAGAGTCTGGACAAGGGTTAGCTGTGCTCTCTGCTCAGGATCTCACTAGGCTGAAATTAAGTTGTTGGTTGGGACTGTGATCTCATCTGAGGTTTGGGGTCCTCTTCTTCCAGGCTCATTCAGGTTGTTGGCAGAATTAAGTTTCTGGTGACTGGAGGACTGAGATCTCTGTTTTCTTGCTGTCTCTGGGTTGGGGCACACCCTCAGCTCCAGGAGGCAACACCACTTGGCCCTCTCACATCATGGCAGTTCACTTCTTCAAAGCCAGCAGGAGAGTCCCTCTTTTATTAGGCTACAATCAAGCCTCATATAATGTATCATAACCGTGGAAGAGACGGTCATCTTTACAGGTCCCACCAACCCTCAGGGGAGGGAATTATACCAGGGAGCGGGACTCAGTGTCATCCTAGAATTCTGCCTACAGTAAGGGTTAGAGAATTACGCCTGGGCCTGC